CAAAGAATCAGACCAATAAGCAGAACTGATAATGGTTTCAGTATCGATAGAGTCTTATCAGTTCCAATCCCTGCTTGTAGGGTGTGTTTGTAGTGATGGTTGTTTCATCAGGGTTCTGTCTCTTTATCTCTCATCTTCCACATCTCCCTTCAGGCTCTGTCTCTCACTCCTTCCCCAGTCATCTCCTCTTCTTGTCATCCTCTTTCTCCTCTCTCATCTCACCTCCCACCTCCCTTCCTCCCTCCCTCCTCTGCCACCTCCCTCTGTCTGCTCTGACAAAGATTCATGCATTAAAGCCTCAGCTACGCCTCGTGAATGCCAAGCCAACTCCTGCATTCTCTGAGAACACTGGGGGAAATTCTCTGCATTTGAGGCGTTTCCCTGTGAGGAAGCACCAGACTGTTACTCCATTAATGGGGCACGTAAACAAATCAGTGCCTCAGCCCTCCACAGGACACTGCTCTACAACTGAGAGGCCAATATGGACTGCAAGCCTGATGCCTGACCCCCCCCACCATGATGAAGAGCAATATGTTCTTGTGTATCTGTGTGTTCTGCTGTAATACAGGGCTGTCTCACCCCATCAGGCCTCAGTGAAGCAGTCATGCCTCCACTGGAGGAAGAAGCAATCAATATTGTTCCAGAAGCCAAAGCTCTCATTACCCTTGGTGTGTATAATGCAGAGTTGGCCCCACTGCCTCCAGTGAGCCATACTGGACATAAAAATGAATAACGACTGACTATGCTACCATGGTAACCTGTCCAGAATTCCTCCTATCCTTTCTAGCTGCCATCCCCCTATATATCTGATTTCTGGTGCAGCAGAGTCCAGTCTGGACTAAGCAGACTAAAGCTCCTTCAGGACAGCAGAGAAATTACTGAAATTTTCCAAGAAAGTCAGCAGTAAACATGCTGCACCCCCCCTCCAAATCCAGGAAAAAAACAACATTAGAATGCTAACATGCTCACAATGACAATGCTAAAATGACGCTCAGAAAGTAAATCTTCACCATCTTATCTTAGCATGCACTCAAAGATGAGGGCATCACCAGGGTTCCCACTATTTTTAAGAAACCATTTTCTAGGACCTTTCAGGACATTTTTCAGGAGTTACAGGACAGCACTCGCTTACAGTTGTTTAATTTATCGTTAGCCAGCAAAAAGATATGCTGGTCAAATATTGACAAATTTAACTCTAGTAATATGTAGTGTCTCAGCTTTGCAATCTACTTTTGCACACTTTCATGGCGCTCTTGGCTGTTGTCACCACAACAGATTTTTTCACTGGGTCTCTTCTTCCACTTGAAGGGCTAGAATATAATTTAAAAAAAGAACAACATAGATTATATTTAAGGATATTTGGTCATTTTAATCGATTTCCAGGTTTTTCCACAACTGGAAAACTAGTCTCTACATTTTCAGGTATTCCAGATTTTCTGGGGGGGATGGGAACTCTGATCACCGAAGTCAGTAGGATTAATCCTCTGAGGACCATGAATGTTTGTAAAAATAATAATAATAAGAAGAATTGGATTGGAAGAATGCACCAAACTGTTGGACCGGCCAACCAACATTGCCAAACCCCAAAGATCATGCTGGATCACTGTGTCCAGCAAAGGATAAACAGCCTATGTTGTAAACAGTGATGTGTAAAAGACTACTCTTGCATTTTTACGTCACCCAAAAATGGGCCAGTAGTATTTGCACATTGTCCCTTATCTTCTGCTGCTTGGCTTCAGGGAGCAAGGATTATTAAGAAATCGACATTAACCACAGAAGAGGTGCAGTACTGGTCCACAGATAGGTGAGACAGCTACATAATTATGAATTTTGAAGTATTTGCTATTCCAAATTCCTTACACTTTGGACAGCTATGCCTTTGCCATCCTAGGGAAAAAAATGTAGCTCACAAACCACTATTGAATGACACACATCGGAGAGGATTTAGAACTTGGTATACCAATGCTGATGGAAATATAAGTGGGTATACTCCTGCACCACAGATATTTACTTAGATTACAAAAGTACCAAACACTGTATTTAAAAATATGTTTGAAAATTATATGATGACGACGACGACAACGACGATGATGATATTTAGTCCGAAATTTAAATCTGTGATACACATTTTCTGTCTCTAAATGATAATGAATCATCTTTTTATTACATTGTCAGTTTTTATGACAATATTTGCATAAATTATCCACATTATCCACAGTTATCACACACAGTTTCTACACCATCCCTAATATTAAGACAATTACACTTGACATAGCAGTAAATAATGCATTATTTAGATGGGTAAATTTGGTAGACCTAAACTGGTGTTTTCACTTATGGTACCTGATTTGACATTTTCTCCGGTATGTGTTGGGCCCATAGACTGTTTAATAAAAACGGACATAGTCCCACCCATACTGTTTCTGAAGCTCAGTAGCCCCTTTCCACCAAATTAGCTCTGGTTCCAGATGCAGTTCCCTTTCAAGATTCTTGGAACCTTGGTGCTATCTAGTGTACTACGATTTGAGTGGAACCATTGTAACCAGATGCACTATCAACAGAGGGCGCTGCGTAATGCACAGCAGCCTGTAAAATATGACCCACTTTTGTTCCCAAGGAAAACCTGTTATTTATTTTCACTGGGAACAAACTTTTTGGGTTCCAGACTAATTTATTTTTGCTCGAAATGATCATAACTGTTCAAAACTTGGTGTTTGAACCAGAACGGAGCCGGTTCCCTTGTTTGTATAAAAGACCTAACTATGGTTGACATCTTGGCAGTCCTGACTCTACCGGTTCTTTAGAGATTTCTTTCTTATAGAGATTGTCTCACTGCTGGAACCAGCCTCAAGTGGCTGTTGGAGGAACTGCAGTTTTGGGCTCTTCCACAGTGACCTAATTTGCTAGCCACAGAGGTTGCCGCTTGGTCTGGCCTGTACCAACACACCATGATGGACATCAGCCTTACACTCTGTTAGCTTTGTTGTACTCGTTAGGCTGGGACAGCTTTATCATTCTCAGTGGTACCTGCAGTTTGCTGGCCTCACATAATTCCCATCACCTGCCAAAAATTCAACAAAGGACAGCAGATGGCTGAATCACCTGTGTGCATGTGCAGGTCCTTAAAATGGGGATGGAGATTACTACAAGTACATCTTGTTAAAAACATCAAATCTTCATCATCTAGAGATGTTTCCTTTCTCATATGTGTGTATATACACTATCAGTCAAAAGTTTGGACACACCTTCTCATTTAATGGTTTTTCTTTATTTTCATGACTATTTACATTGTAGATTCTCACTGAAGGCATCAAAACTATGAATGAACACATATGGAATTATGTAGTAAACAAAAAAGTGTGAAATAAATTAGATTACTCAAAGTAGCCACCCTTTGCTTTGTTGACAGTGCTGCAAACCCTTGGCCTTCTCTCAATGAGCTTCATGATGAAGTCACCTGAAATGGTTTTCACTTCACAGGTGTGCCTTGTCAGGGTTCATTTGTGGAATTTCTTGCCTTCTTAATGGGGTTGGGACCATCAGTTGTGTTGTGCAGAAATCAGGTTGGTACACAGCTGACAGCCCTATTTGACAACTGTTAGAATTCATATTATGGCAAGAACCAATCAGCTAAGTAAAGAGAAACGACAGTCCATCATTACTTTAAGAACTGAAGGTCAGTCAGTCCGGGAAATTGCAAAAACTTTGAATGTGTCGCAAAAACCATCAAGCGCTACGACGAAACTGGCTCACATGAGGACCGCCCCAGGAAAGGAAGACCAAGAGTCACCTCTGCTGCTGAGGATAAGTTCATCCGAGTCACCAGCCTCAGAAATCCCAAGTTAACAGCACCTCAGATTAGAGCCCAGATGAATGCCACACAGAGTTCTAGTAGCAGACACATCTCTACATCAACTGTTCAGAGGAGACTGCGTGAATCAGGCCTTTATGGTCAAATAGCTGCTAAAAAACCACTACTAAAGAAAAGCAACAAGCAGAAGAGATTTGTTTGGGCCAAGAAACACAAGGAATGGACATTAGACCAGTGGAAATCTGTGCTTTGGTCTGATGAGTCCAAATTTGAGATCTTTGGTTCCACCCACAGTGTCTTTGTGCGACGCAGAAAAGGTGAACGGATGGTCTCTACATGCATGGTTCCCACCGTGAAACATGGAGGAGGAGGTGTGATGGTGCTTTGCTGGTGACACTGTTGGGGATTTTTTCAAAATTGAAGGCACACTGAACCAGCATGGCTACCACAGCATCCTGCAGCATCATGCCATCCCATCCGGTTTGCGTTATGTTGGACCATCATTTATTTTTCAACAGGACAATGACCCCAAACACACCTCCAGGCTGTGTAAGGGCTATTTGACCAAGAAGGAGAGTGATGGAGTGCTGCGCCAGATGATCTGGCCTCCACAGTCACCTGATCTAAACCCAATCGAGATGGTTTGGGATGAGATGGACCGCAGAGTGAAGGCAAAAGGGCCAACAAGTGCACAGCATCTCTGGGAACTCCTTCAAGACTGTTGGAAAACCATTTCATTTGGCTATTTTGAAGAATCTAAAATATAAAACATGTTTTGAGTTATTTCACACTTCTTTGTTTACTACATAATTCCATATGTGTTCATTCATAGTTTTGATGCCTTCAGTGAGAATCTACAATGTAAATAGTCATGAAAATAAAGAAAAACCATTAAATGAGAACGTGTGTCCAAACTTTTGACTGGTAGTGTATATATTCTCAGAGAGAGAGAGAGAGAGAGAGAGAGAGAGAGATTTTTTGGTCAGGATGTTTTTGAAAGATGGCTAGATAAGTAAGAGAGTATGTGTATGTGTTTCTGCCCACAGCTTCCCATGCTGTTTCTTTGCAATGGTAATATGCCTTTGGCGAGAGGTGATTCATGCTCCTCCAGACTTTCTGATGAGTACTGTGGCCCTGGCTTCAGTTTGCTGATGGCTGAAATGTTTTTATTTCTCTCTCTGTGTTGCAGTTGAAAGAGAAGTGGTTCAGAAGAGGACCTTCACCCGATGGATGAACCTGCATTTAGAGAAGGTTTGTTGACGGCTTTTTTGAAACAGTGGCTGCAGAAAATACACAAGAAGGAGAAACTGTAATTATGGTCTCTAAGCTCACTTATTACAGAGCTGCTCACTGAGCTTTCATTTACTACCAGCAAAACATTTCTTTCTTTTATTGTCACTTCACCCCAAAACCCGGGGTAGCTCCGTCTTCACCACAGACTGCATCATGAAGCAGAATTTACCCCACTATGCTCACTGTATGTGTTTTGCACTGCGGCTGAGACACGTGCTGTACATAAACAACAGCTGCAGTCTCTCCATCCCACTGTCTAAATTATGCATGTGGTTGCGTGGAACTGCCCGTGTGCAGCATTAAAGTTTCATTAGGCTGTTAAGTGTTAATCTGAGAGAACAGTGGCTGGGTTACAGGTCTTAATAACCCAAGGTGGCCGCTTGGCTCTCCGCCACCCAGCAAGCTGCTGCATGTGAACAACTGGTGCATGAGCCCCCCCAGCACCCCCTGCTGCTCATGGCTTTGGGCCAAATATAGGAGAAATGCTCTGAGGTAACCAATGAGAGTCCAGTCAATGAATGAGACTAGAAACTAAGAAAGTATGGAGGCCCAAAGAGGATGCATAAATACATACACATATGTGATTGATACATTTTCATTGCCACTGTCTCAAAGTGCTTGCTCATGGTGGGAACTGTCGGGTCTCTGTAAATCATTTTATAACAAGTACAGTCTAAACTGGCTGTATTTGAAAACTTTTTTTGTATTTTTATGCTTATTTTGAAGTATTGTGTTTGATGGAAACGGTAAAATTTTACAGTTTACACTGTTCATGCGCTTTGAAAATGGGAGATTGAAACACTTTTATTGAATAAATTCTGCTCCACACAGATTTGATCAAACCTTCCTCACATTAATACATGAAATAAATGATTTCCATCCTGTTTTTTGCATTGTTTTTCACCATTTGAGCTAGTTTTCTGACTGAAATTGGCACCACCTACTGCTTATCTTGATGAACTCCTATTAATCGCAGCAGTGAACAAGTATTTATTTGTATTTTCTTTTGCCGATTTAATTAAACACATTTGGATAGTGTAACTTGTCAGAAAATAGTGTAAAATGCACAGTCCAACATGATCTCTTGTTTTGTCCAACCAATGGTCCAGAAGCTGAAAGGCTGCAACAAATAAGTATTTGGTGCTTTTGCTCAAAAAAAAAAAAATATTACATTTTCAAAATATTTTACAGATACTGATCATTTCATTCTCACTCGACTAGAAAGTTAGTAGAAGGTCTAGCTGAAAAGTGTCGGTCACTGAGATGGAAGTGTTGTTTCCTTCCCTCACTTATGTGTAGTCTATCTACACCTTGTCAGGCTAAATGTCAAACACCTCTACATTGCTAGGCTGATGAATGAATCACAATGAAATGAAAGTAATGGTTTCATTGCCTGCCATTACAGTACACCTGTGCATATAGACACAGTGAGCTCCAGCAGAGCTGTCTAAACTGAGTTTCACTCCTGAGCTTTCTTTCCTTTTGTGGTGAGTCAGGGTGGGCTGGGAGACTGAGCGTCTGATCACATCTTTTGTTTTCCCCTCACACAATAAGCCTCTCTTCTCTTAGTCACTGTTTGGCTCTGCATCAAATCTCTGACCCACTAATTGACAATCACACATTTGTCTTCTGTCATCTTGGAAAGTTCCAGTCACTTTAACCCCCCCTCCATCCCCCAACCATTCACTGTGTTCAGACAAGTTTACAAATGCCTGAGTTTGTAGTGGCTTGTGATAGCAGGGATAAATGTTGGCTCTGGCAGGGAGTGCTGTGGGTTACTGACAGATTCCTGAAGATATATCTGCATGGTTTACCCTTGTCTCAGTCGGTTGGTGTGTTTGATTTCACTCAGATTTCCCAGTGGCAACATCTCCATATATGTCCTTATTGTCACTGAAAGTGTGCAGCAGTGAGTGTGTGTTGATTTTTCAGTGTTTATTTGAAATGGTCAAAAAGTGTTGACTGGAGAGCTGTTGAGTGCCATCCAATGTGTTGAATTAAAGCTTGAGGGTGTGTCTGGGAAGAGTGTTGGCACCTTGTTGATTTTTAACACACTTTAACACATTTTTCCAGTTCCCCCATTTGCATACCTTGGGTCCTCCCATCCGCAAATTACACTACCACAGTTATTGTCTGTTAGCGTTCAAGCTAAAGAGCTCGCTAACTGTAAGCTAGAGAGCTTCCTTCCCCATCTTCAATAAAGTCACTGAATAAAATGATGTACAGTCCTAAGAACAAGTTGAGTTGGGAGTAAACAGCCCAGTAGAGAAACGAGAAATAATCTCAAAGAATACATATTTGTGTTTTAAGAGGTAGATACTGGATGGCAAGATGGTGCCTAAACACCCTTTTCACAGCAGCCATTTTGACTGGAAGTCCAGTGGTAACACTGTTGTTACCAGTGACACCAATTAAGGTTGGTTCCATTCAGATCAAACAGGGTCAGGGTGCTGCTATTGTGCATGTTGACTCACTGGAAAGACTAAATGGAACAGAACCTTAATTAGCATGATTGGTAACACCTGTGTTTACCCTACTATTTCCTGTCAAAATGCCTGCTGTGAAAAAGGTCTATTCAATCCAAGGAGAACTAGAGCCGCACAGATGTATCTAGTTTGATAATAGATCAATTCAATTGAATTCAATTTTATTTGTATAGCACCAATTCATAACAGAAGTTATCTCAGGACACTTTTCAAATAGAGCAGGTCTAGACCGAACTCTTTATAACATTATTTACAGAGACCCAACAGTACCACCATGAGCAAACCTTGGCGACGGCAAGGAAAACTGCCTGTAAAGGCAGAAACCTAGGACAGACCCCGGCTCTAGGTGGGTGGTCGTCTCTCGACCGGAGGGAGGGAGGGAGAGGGAGAGGGAGAGGGGAGGGGGGAGAGGGGAGGGGGGGAGAGAGAGAGGGAGGGAGAGAGAGAGAGAGAGAGGGAGGGAGAGAGAGAGGGAGAGGGGGGGAGGGAGAGAGAGAGAGAGAGGGGGGGAGAGGGAGAGAGAGAGAGAGGGAGAGGGAGAGAGAGAGAGAGAGAGAGAGAGAGAGAGAGAGAGAGAGAGAGAGAGAGAGAGAGAGAGGGAGAGATTAAATCCTTCTTACAGATGGGCCCCAGACAGTGGAGACAAATTCATCAAGGCTTTGAACTCCCCTGATCTGATGAATTACATATTAATATACTCAAAATCAATATGTCCCTACCAGAGATGGGGTAAACAAGGCTATGGAGGATATCAATATGATATTTCATAAGGAAGCTATTAGGGCTGACCTCATAAAGCAAAGACAGAGACCTGTTAAAAGGCAAAATACTGACAAATGGTTTGATCAAGAATGCAAAACAATCAGAAAAGAGCTGAGAAGCAAATGAGAAACATCACAGCCCTGCGCATTCAATACAATGAAATTTTAAATACATATAAATACACAATTAGGATCAAAAAACAAAATTATACCCAACTGAAACTTGAAGATATTGAGAATGCCATTAACCAAAATCAATTCTGGGATATGTGGAACAAGTTCAACACAAAGCAACAGCAGACATTACCCATCCAAAACGGTGACATCTGGAGATCACATTTTGAAAATCTGTACAAAGACATACCAATCAATCAAATCAATTCAGATCAGGGTATTATGAAAGAAAAACTCCAAAAATTAGAAGAAACAATTAAAGACAACCAAAACCCCGTTGATTTCGAAATTACTTGGGAAGAAATAACCACACAGATAAAATGTCTGAAGCCAAGAAAAGCTTGTGGTCCAGACAGCATTAGAAACTAAATGCTCAAAAGCAGCACCCCTGAAATGCAGGATGCAGTGTTACATTTGTTCAATATTATACTACAGGCAGGATGTTTTCCCAACATCTGGTGCAAAGGGCTCATTTCCCCCATTCATAAGAGTGGGGACAAATCAGACCCTAATAACTACCGTGGTATCTGTGTCAGCAGCTGTCTCGGTAAACTATTCTGTAGTATTCTTAATACAAGAATACTAGATTTCCTTGAGGAACAGTCAGTCTTAAGTAAAAGTCAGATTGGCTTCCTGCCAAGACACCGCACCACCGACCATGTATATACCCTTCACACTTTAATCAACAAACATGTACAACAAACTGAGAATGGAAAAATATTCACCTGCTTTATTGATTTCAAGAAAGCTTACGACTCCATTTGGCATGAAGGGCTCTATTACAGACTTTTAAACTGTGGTATAGGTGGCAAAATGTCTGATCTGGTTAAATCAATGTATTTGGAAAACATGTGCTGTTAAAATTGGAGACAAACTAACTGATTTCTTCCCCCAGAGAAGAGGCGTTCGGCAGGGTTGCAATCTAAGTCCGACTTTATTTAATGTGTATATAAATGAACTGGCTGTTGAGTTGGATAAATGTGCTGCTCCGGGCCTCTCCCTCCTAGATAGAGAGGTGAAGTCTCTGATGACCTTGTTCTACTGTCTCCTACTGAACAAGGACTACAGCTACAGCTGGACGTAGTAGAAAAGTACTGTCAGAACTGGGCCCTGGCAGTAAACATGAAGAAAACCAATGTCATGATCTTTCAAAAACGCCCCAGGTGTCATGAGAACAAACACCAATTTACCATCAATAATCATGTCATTGAACACAGCATGAGTTATACCTACCTTGGTATAACCATAACAGCATCAGGGAGTTTCAACATGGCAGTGAATGCACTAAAAGAAAAAGCTTGAAGAGCTCTATATGCAATTAAGAGAACATTTTATAATTTCCATATTCCAATAAAAATCTGGCTTAAAATATTTGATAGTGTCATCCAGCCCATTGCGCTGTACGGTAGTGAAGTATGGGGTCCACTCAGTCATCAGAGCTTTACCCGTTGGGACAAACATCCAACAGAATCTCTACATGGAGAATTCTGCAGATACATTTTACACGTACACAGAAACACACCAACAAATGCATGCAGAGCAGAATTAGGCAGATACCCACTGATAATTAACATTCAGAAGAGAACGCTCGACTTTTTTAACCACCTGAAATCCAGCCCCAGAGACACCCTCCACTCCAAAGCCCTCCAAACCCAAGAGCTGAGCACAATGTAAAGAAAGCTATCTGGACCATTGGGAAGAAACAACTAAAAGCCAAAGTAGACTGGAATGTTATCTTGCCCTTAAAAGAGATTATGAATGAGCAGAATATCTCTCTACTGTCAGAGATAGAAAGCAGAGACAGATCCTAACCTAGTACAGGCTCAGTGACCACAAACTGCCAATCCAAACAGGAAGACACAAACAATCATGGCAACCAAAAGAAAACAGAAAATGTGGTCACAGGCTCTCATCACGCTCCCTCAACCATGCTCACCTACACTGGTTATTTAGTGTGTGCGCTCCCTTGGGATTAGATATACACCATAAAAACATGTTGCACCATATATATGTATATGTGTATATGTGTATATATACTGTATGTGGTGAAATGAATGTGTTTTTTCCTATAGCTTTAATATGACAGGGATAGCCGTATATGCACTATAGAGAGATGGATGCATTTGCATCTTTCTTAAAAAATATTCGGAAAAAAGAAATACTAAAATGAAAATCAAATTAATTAAAATTGTTGCAGTTCTAATTCTCACCTCTCCTTCTGTCTCTTTCCCTCCATTTTCAGTGTGACCCACCCATTGAGGTTCTTGACCTTTTCCGTGACATACAGGATGGACACATCCTCATGGCCCTGCTGGAAGAGCTCTCTGGCTGCAAGCTGGTCAGACTTTACATTGTTTTTAGTTCCAGATCAGTATTGTGTATAATAACCATTTTAGCAGCTCCTTTGGCAGTAGTGGTGGTCCAAGTAGTTGTTTCGTTTGGCTTTGGTTTTTATATCTGTCAATAATACTTTTCCCAATCGAATGATTTTCCAGCTTCATGGATTCAAGAAGTCCTCCCATCGTATTTTCAGACTGAACAACATCGCTAAGGTCCTGAATTTCCTGGAGGAGAGAAACGTGAGTACCACAGCAGTTAGCTTGAAGACATGTCTACCTACTGCTTGTTGATTGGCTGAACTGTTAACACAAACATGTGTGTCCTCAGGTTAAGCTGGTCAGTATAGATGCAGCTGACGTTGCTGATGGAAACCCCTCCATCATCCTGGGACTCATCTGGAACATCATCCTCTTCTTTCAGGTAATCAACTTTTCTCTGTATATCCTCTCATTTAACACCTCCATCCAGTCTCATCTGTCCACCATCCTCTGCCTCTCAAAATGTTCACTCAAAATGAGGTCAAGTGTGAGAATAAAGTGTCTACCTCACAGCCTGTGGACTTTCCATTCACAAAAGCATCAAAATGCAGCTCGCTGGGTAGTTTCATGTAATCCACAGTGCGGTTCAATGCCTTGGACAGACACCATGAGGAAACAATTATCTCTGCATTCACACAGACTGTCCTCTCATTCTGGAGGCATTCCACTGTGTGAATCTGTCTACACTGCCAGGTCTGAGCAAGGATTAATGGTAATAATGACCAAGATACACTGGGCTTCTTTGATGGCCTTTTACAGAGATTTGGCCTTGAAACTGTAAAGCATCTTGTAAATCCAATTTTTTAAAAGTGCTATATAAATAAAGTTTCTACTTTATCATTATCATTACCATTACCATTATTATTATTATTATTATTATTATTATTATTATACTCTCTTAACTTCAAATGTTGTTTTGCCCAATAATTGCAAACAATGAAATCACATTCACAAATAAATAGTAAATTTGAAACAATATTCACTTACTACACTAGCTTTCATTTGCGGTGTTTTCATTTTTCTTTATTTTTTATAGATTTTCCATGTATATTCTGTTTTAAGCCAGTGTAACAGTAAACTGACCCTCTGTTTCACATGGACAATTTCACTTTATTACAGGATAGTCCTCCAGTGCTATGATATAGCATTAAAAAAACAACACTTGTTTCCTCTTAGGTTAAATATTGGCTCCCAATAAATGTGTAAATGTGCACAACATGCCAGACTTTTAGCACTTTGTGTGAACATTTTTCGTGATAACACATACAACACTATATCATATGGGCCAACTGGCTTGTGATACACATCCACATTGTTAGTTATGTAGGTTTTCAGTGAGTCTTCAAACCTGACAGTGTTATTTTCTCAGACTTTAGAAAAGCTCTTCTGGAGCCACAGAAGACAATGAACTGATTTGACAGGTTGAGCAGGACCATTATGAGTAAACTGATCTTAGTGTTTAAAATTTTTGGAGTTCCCCTTTAATCCCATCTCTACAATCTAGCAAATGATTCAGCACTGGAAAGTCCTCTGAGTGTTTAAATGGCTTTGATTGTAAAATTGCAAAATTCTGTTTATATGTAATAAATCCTGTTACTGACTGAGCGTTTTACATGTTTGTAGTCTTTTTACAGAACTTTAAGCCAGAACAGATATCCCTGGGATAGTTTCCTTTGCAAAGTCGATCACTCTCTGATGAAAGTAACCCACTTTTTGTCAATATTCAGCAGATCGTCTGTTCAAGTGTCAGCATACAACACTTGGGTAAATCATCTGCTGGAGATACAGGGATGAATTTGATACTCATTAGCTGAATTGACAGGTAAAACAGTCGACCAAAGGGAAATATAATCCAACTCTCTGTCCCCTTCCAGATTAAGGAGCTGACTGGGAACATCAAGAGCCAGTTCCCCTCCTCCTCCAGCTTGTCGTCCATCCCCACCAGCTCCGACTCTGACACGTCCTTCTGTAGCACGCCATCAGATGAGAGACAGTCAGCGTCCACGGCCATGCGAGAACACGGCAAGGCCATCAAAAAACTGCTGCAGTGGGTACAGAAGCGAACACGCAAGTAAGTGTGGTCAGCCATTTTCAATAAAGATTTTTGTGATTGTTTCTTGGTATTCTCCGGTGGTCTTTTTGGACTGACCGTCACCACTGAATATGTCCTGCCTTACTGTAGGTTTGGTGTGGCAGTGCAGGACTTTGGGAAGAGTTGGACAAGTGGTCTGGCCTTCCTTGCTGTCATTAAGTCCATTGACTCCAGCCTGGTGGACATGAGGAAGGCACTGCTGAGGACTGCCAGAGAAAATCTGGAGGACGCCTTCAGGATAGCCCACTACAGCCTGGGTATCCCACGCCTACTGGAGCCAGAGGGTAACAAGAAAACCTATTTTTAGACATCAGGGTAATCTGGTTACTGCCCACATTAAACTGCCATACCATAATATAATAACACTGTATTTTCCTTGCTGTAATGAATTACCAATATTCTATGAAAAGAAGCACTTGTTTGGTTGTAAAAAGCTAAACTAAAAGGTGTTCCCATGTCACAGCAACCTGTTAAACATAGCCCTAAGATAGACCTCAACAGGTTCTACAGGTTTCCCATTGCTGGATAATTAACCTAACCAGACTAATCTAGCCCAGTTATAACATTTGCATTTGTGCAACCAAATCTATGTTGCAAAGTAAGAAGCCTAAGAGTGGTAATCCCTGTTCATGGAAACAGCCTCATAGTTCCCATTCTAAGCCTATTTTGTGCCTCTATGTAAAATCAGGATGAGGCAGCGGTCAAGTCATGGGGACCTTTTCGTAAGCCACCAGTGTTTGAGGATAATTTGGAATTGGCTATATTTAGCTAGTGCTAGACCACATTCATAGTATTCCTGCTCAGTGTTTGTTTGAAATACAACTTGCAATCTAGGTAGCTTCTAACTATCTGCCAGGAGATGCTGTAGTTTTAGTGTTGGTAAAACCCCAAAAGGTACATCCTCCACTAACCATTTCCTACTAGCATTTTATGGCTGTATTGTGACCTTTTCTCTGTTTAAATTAAACTTTAAAATTAGATTAGTGTTATGCACTTTCCACATGTAAGCAATGCTGCCACACTTTGATATACAATGCCCCTTTCAGACAGTATCATTGCTGGCTTTATCAATCTAATAAAGTAATCACAGGACCATTATGGATAGAGGTGCTGTGCTCGTGCAATATTTTGCATCTGGTATGCAAAAGGCAGTGAAAAAGCACCCCCTCTCTTCCCACCAGCAGCTCTGTAGATTGGCACAGGATTTTTCTTCTCCAATTTTATAATTTACTAGGTATGTCATGCTGCCTGTTTTATGCAGTCCAATAGTGCCCAATTATAGTTAATAAGGAATAGACAAGGTTGTGACTCTCATTTATTTGCCCTTTGCTCACATGTCAAATACTAACAAATACTTCGCTGGACTTTAATACTTTTGGTATGGATGTCCAAAAAAAATGTATTACCGTGTTCTGTGAAGGGGAAAATAAGCAAAAAACATTTTTATATAGGCATGAGGCAAAATAAGATGTAAATTGAATGTCTCTCTATGTGTTTAATGGTTTTATTCAGACATGAGACCTACAAATTGCCAGCACTTTTACGTAAAAAAAAGTGGAGGAAGCCTGGTTGACATGAGAGTCTGTATGTTAAATGCCACTGTGGTAATTGTTCGTTATCTGCCTAGATGTGACTATCAACGCACCAGATGATCAATCAATCATGACGTATGTGTCACAGTTCCTGGAACACTTCCCTGGCATAGAGGAGGTAAGAATCCCTTCTTGCAGTGCATGGATTAGATCTGTCTTTGACGAAACGCTTTTTTCTGGATGTGAGCACTGATAGATTGCTGCCATCTTCTTTATTTCTCTCTCAGCCGGAGGAGTCCTGCCAGCTGATTGAAAAAAGCATCTCTATGTGCCGACTAAACTTCCGTGACAATGACTCCGACCACATCAGGAATGGCGCTCACAGAAGTAGAGTGAGAGATAGGTCCATCATGTTCCAGAGGGAATGTACCCAACCCCCACCCAAAATCTTAATTTCCTCTGTGTCAGAAGATAGGAGCATCATGTCGCCCCGAATCAGGCCGGCCGCAGCTCGCTCATGGTCCAGTGAAGACTTCTTAGCAGATTCCCCCCATATGGAAGACATCTCCAGCAGTGTGGTTGAAGATACCAAGGAACCTGCCTGTGAGAACTTAATCAACTCAACTTCTGACTCACCACAACTGTCTTACGCTCACTCGCCCACTGGCTCATCAGTGCCTGAGTCTGTAAACACTGAGTCAGTTATTGGAGACTCAGCAATCAGCTCACCTGATTCCTGGGTGGAGAGCGAGTTTGGCATCATGCCAGAGAAGTTCTGTGAGAGTCGAAGTGACAGCTCTTTGTGTGACAGTGGAACAGCCTGGGATGTGTACCGTGCCACCCCCGTGGAGATCACTACTCTTGATGAAGGATTTGTCCCATCCATAGAGGATAGAGTCCCTGATGAGCAGTCGATTACAGAGTCGTATATTGATGAAGGTATTTACTCGCTGAGCTCACTGCAGAGCACCCAGGAGAGAATCCAAGGGTATTCTGTGAAGAAACAAGTTGAAGTCGTGAAAGAGAAAGAGACAAACCTTGACAACCACAACCAGGATATGGCATTAGAACAGGTACCTGATCATAGCGAAGCTGAGATTATAAAAGAAGTAGACTCTAAACAGATGGATACAAGTGTACTCCAAAAAGATGAAGTACCCAGAGAGCAAGAATCTTCTTTTGGACTGTGTGTTTCAGAAGTAATGGTCAACTCTGGTACAGAAGATCTCATTGAAACTGATAAAACTAACCAGTCCCCACTCATCTCCAACACTGAACTACCACCCCTTGACCTATTTGAAGAATTCATAAAGCAAACCAGTGTTGAAGAGAGCGCTAACCGAGAAGCAGAATGTTTAAAGAAAGATGTGGACTTCATTGGGGATGCACAGGACCACGAAGGACAAATTAATGGTCGAACTGAAAGTCAGAATCATAACTCTGAGGAGGTTGAAGTGGAAACTGAATGTCAGAAACCAGATTCTCCTTCAGAGGAGACAAAAGGGGAGTCAAGAGAGGAGTCTGGAATTTTAAAGGAGAGGGATGAAGCTGTTGTAGAAACAGAAGACAAAGCAAGTGATGGAGTTCCAAGCTTTAGTTCAGAGACTTGTGATGCTTTAGCAAACACACATCCAACCAATCAAGACGAAACCTCAAAAACAAGTCTGGACCCATGTACGGGGATAAACATTCCTCTGATCTCTATTTCCAGTGAGCCAGAAGAGCAAGAAGAAGAGGGAACATGTAACCTCAAAAGACAACATCATGCTGAGGATGATGAGGTACATCACGCAGAGGCAACTGGAACTAAAGAAACTGACACAGATGTAAACAGCCCTCAAGATCCAGATATATTGAGCGGTGATTCCAGTGACAATAACGACAAAAACCCTGTTGAGATCCCTTCCCGCATGGTATCAGAACTAGTTAAACCAACAACGTCAGAAGAAATAAGAGACATAGAAAGTGGGCATTTGAATGATACAGATGAACATGACATCAGTAGATCAACAGCAGACATATGTGGGACAGATACAACAGATAAGATGGACAGAAGGGAAGTCGAACAGGAATGTGAGTCTCCTCACCATGACACTGAGAAGGACTTGGTAGCTCAGACCTCTTCTACAGATGGTAAATCAATAGAACCTGTGACTACTGAGCTGGAAATGGATTTAACTGATCAACTAGATGGATCCCAAGACAAACTGATTGAAACCTTTTCTGACAATGAGACAGCTACCACACTGGATCCAGTCGACTCAAAACAAAATGGTGCGACAGGGACTTCATGTTGTAAAGTTGGTAGTGTGTCCAGAGATACTGACTTGTTTTATACAGACTTTGATCGAAGATCTCCCACAGATGATCTAGTTGGTGACCCTATCGAACCCATGGATCTGTTCTATCCTGACAAAGAGGAGCCCATGTTTACAGAGCCGCCTGATACTGAAATGCAGAGCTGGCCTTCTGTTCTGAGTGTATCCGCTCTCCAGCCGGCGCCAGCTTCAGAGACTCTGCCAGACGACCATCCACTCGACCTGCTTGGTCAAGACTTCAGAATTGGAGTAAATTCAGTACAAGAGGATGACAAGGTAAATGTGTTAATTCAGCAGAAGGATGATTCCAAATTACTTTTTTCTAGCACCACAATGAAGTTGACATTTTTGGTTTGGAGTGAATATCCCATCTACTTTCGGATTGATTCCTATGAAATTTGGTCCAGATAGTTACTGTATCTTCCCCACAGGGTGAATTGAAATATCTCTAGTGATCCCCTGGCTTCATCAAGTCAAAATGTCAATTGCTCCACTACTTTGGTTTATGACCAAATTTATGCAAAACTAATGATTTTCCCATCATTCTCAGCTATCTTTCTTGTTTAGCATGCAAACACACTAAACCAAGAAGGTGAATATGGTTAACTGTACCTTTAACATCCATGTATTGTCATCTCAGTTTGGAAAAAAGAACAGTTATTAAGTTTACTTTTTTTTTCGATTTACTGATTTTTGTGAGTGAGTGAGTGAGTGAGTGAGTGAGTGAGTGAGTCAGTGAGTGAATAATGAAGTTACAGATTTGATTAGTCTAGTGTTGGGTTTTTTCCCCAATCTTTATTTAACCAGGAAGTCCCTTGAGCTTGAAATCTCTTTTCCGAGGAAGACCTACATGAATATGAGGGGAGTTTACCCAGTGTGGCCTTGTACACTAAAGAATACAAATGAAATTGTCTACGTAGACTTAGTGATGGCCAGTCTACCAAATTATAAAGCGTACAATGATGAGTACGGGGACCAGGGTTGGTTATAAAATATAGAGCACTGTGGTACACAGAATCTAAAATGTGGAGAGTACTGGATGCAGCATGCATGTAGACAAGTCCCATTGGCTATTGCTCTTTCAAAATGACTCCTTAATTTAAATTATTTGCTTTTATTAGTATTTGTGGTTAATTCCTCCATACAACTGACTAGTCACTGTGTACATTAAACTTCTAAAAGATCTATCTTTCTTAATTTCTTGCTCTTGTTAGGTGATCACTAAGACCAACCTGGAGACTGACAAAGCATCTGAATCGCAGGAACACTGTTTGTTGCCGGGGGAGAAGATAGAAGGACTCTGGGGTGATATTCCAGCAGACGGCAGTGATCTCAGTGAGGCCAAGCAACGGAGCTCAGGCTCTGCCAGGGAAAACACAGAGCATGTGAGGTAGGTTTTCTATTCTTAGTTGACTCCCTAGTGCACTGAGAAACACACTGGACCCTGGAGGAAACCAGTGTTATGGCAATGGATGCGACTGCTCTGACCTGGCCTCTCTGTTTGCTCAGATATTTCCTTAAATGTACTGAACAAAATCTGTGTAGGCTGGTGGTGGGAATTAAGACAGGCCTTATGAGGGTTGAGGGACTGTGTCATGAGGAAAGGGGACCGGGGCTAGTGACATCAGTGTGGTTGGAATAATTAATACATAGGAGCTTGATTCTGTTTATGTTCAAAAGTGGAACGGATATATGGCATTTTTTGTTCAATTTATTTACATTCTGACTCAAATTGCATACTTACACGCAAAGGATTCAGAGGAAGTTATGCATGCATGAGGACACAGGAATTTCACATAATGTGGAAAACAAAATTTTATTTCAAAGTTTGATATCAATTTACCCATGTCGTTGAAACTAAGGTGGCTGCGAAACCTGTGCAAAACACAAAAAGTCCCTGTCTAGAGCCAGTGTTTGATTTGTCCATTCTGGGGTACTGTATCAACATGGTGGTTCAATATTGTGGACTCCATGGAAGAGCTCCCTCTGTAGATAAGACTAGATGATGCACTAGAGCACAGCCTCAAACCAAAACCAAAACAAATGACAAGTGCAACGGCCCACCAGACTCCATTTTCAAAAACACAAATATTAACTTGCAGATCATAAAACATACTTAATGGAAACTTTACAGAAACAAAATAAAACTCAACTTTCTTTACACTGTTCTAACAACAATTACCAAGTCCGGTTTGGTTGACATAACCCCTTAATTTATCAAGTTAGATGAGAAAATAACACAGAAAATGGCTGCTATAACTGCCATGTAACGGCATCTGTCATTTAACCTCAAATAATTGTAACTTTGTTAAAAACGGACATAATGTCAGGAGTTGATGGAGACCAAAACAGAGCTCAAAGGAAAGTGAATATTTGACTAGAATAGGATATTGGAAGGCCACAAACCTTCAGCCTATTGTGGAGTTCTGTGGCTAACACACCAGATTAATGCAGCTGCAGATTTAAACTTTAAACAGGAAAAAGGCCTGGAGTTAGGAGTTGTAGTGAAGGGGACAGGGAATAAAGTCACAGAAAGTAGCTTTTTAGTTCTGGTTTCATACTCTCATTCTTTTGTCTCAAGGTATTCACAAAGGCTTTTCGTTTTATATTTCCTGGGCCTGCTCTAACTAAACTAATGGATTCTGTCTTTGACACTAAAAGTTACAGTGGACGCGATGAAAGCCAGAACCCTCCAGTTCTCCGTCACAGAAAGGGGCTTCGCTTCACTGAGTCCATGGTTGGTTTGACACTGCACTTCCATCTCTATGGACATGTTATTACTGCTGGATAAGTATTCTGTCTGATGCTGTACACTGAGTGTTTGCTCTCACTCACAGGACAATCGGACAGCCCAGACTGCAGCGGCCAGAAAAGATGACAACGGTGACTCTGATTTTTGGTAAGAACTTCTCCAAGGATGCTTTAGTTCTGTATACTGTATAGGCCTTTCACAACAGCACGTTTTTACTGGTTGCAAGTATTTCCAAACCGGTGGTGGACTAGTAGTCATCTTCTCCTGTTGGAATACTAGTCTCATCAACAGATACTGAAAAAACAACCAATCAGAGCCAAGAAAGATAGAAAGATGCTTTGGTTTGGTGTCTTGAAGATAGTTGACAACAAATGATCTTTCTTGGCTCTGATTGGTTGTTTTCGTTAAGGTCCAGTAGATTCTTCCAAATGCCATTAGGAGCACTATGAGGAACCAGAGGAACCTGATTTTGTCTCATGTTCTACTGTTAGGATATAGTGAAAGTTTCAGCAAATATGACCAAAAGATATTTTCATAAAAGTTACCTACTGCAGCTTTAATTGAAATATCAAAATCACAGTATGGCCAATGCCGATATCCAAATTGCAGAAGCTGCAATTTTTTGATAAAAGTAACATGAGTTATAATGAAGTACTGTAGTGCTGCAGAGATACCCTGGCCTACAAATCTTGCTCTCCAGATGTAAGAAAACATGTTTGTTTGGTCCCCCCCCCCCGACTAATGTCCCATCATCATGATTTTAATAGTTTCAGTGAAAATGTAAATTGTGACAAAAAAAACGCAATGAATTAAAATTCCCAACAATCTTGAATCATATTGCAATCGCAATATCTATCAAAAAGTAATCGGGGTGCAACCCATCTTAGTAGCCAGTTTCGTTATTAACTCACTATCAGTTACTACGCCCCTAGTGTCAACTTCAGAATATAATTGGTACAACCCAGGGCTGGCCCCTAAAATTGGGACACAGCACATCAGAAGACCCAAAATAAATGTCTCATGAATGTTTAACTGTTTGTAAGAATCTATCCATATTGCAGTGCTGCTCATTATCTCTTTCAGTTTTGTGTCTCTGCTGACCTTATTCTGACCTCTCGTGTGTGTGTGTGTGTGTGTGTGTGTGTGTGTGTGTGTGTGTGTGTGTGTGTGTGTGTGTGTGTGTGTGTGTGTGTGTGTGTGTGTGTGTGTGTGTGTGTGTGTGTGTGTGTGTGTGTGTGTGTGTGTGTGTGTGTGTGTGTGTGTGTGTAGGCGTGGTGAGAACTGGGAGCTGTATCTGCTGCTGCTGCTGTGGCTGCTGCTCTACTGTTTCTGGCTGCTGCCACAGATGGACCTGAAGACACTGCCCAGCCTGCTGCTGAACCTCAACCACTAAAGGACACACACACACACACACACACACACACACACACACACACACACACACACACACACACACACACACACACACACACACACACACACACACACAGAGTTAGAGGAAAAAAGAGAATTTTAACAAATATATAAACTTTAATGCACCGTCACTAAAAAAACACACACATACAGCTCAACTGCCACTCCTCGTTCCTTTCCATTCCACTGACTGTACTCCAGATTAGATTAGACTTTTAGGTTTTTGCTTTTTAGCTTTTGATGTGGCTTGAAGTATTCTGTATGACAATGTGTTAGGGCCACTGCTGGGGAAAACTAGGTCTGAGATTTAAAAAAAAATGTGCAACCTTTTTAGAAAAGGTCATAATGCTGTTAAAATCAAGTCAAAATAATTTTATGGGAATAAAATTGTAATTTTACAAGGAAACAGTCATAGCAGTATAAGACGTACATTTTAATATTTTGAGAAAAATTATGTTGTGAAAATAATGTAATAATTTTACAAGAGAAAAGTAATGTAACAAAATAAAGTTTTGCTTTTACAGGAATAGGTCATTATATGTCAAGAATAAAGTTTTTGATAAAAAAAGTAATATTTTAAGACTAAAGACTAAACTCATAATATTTCAAATTAGGTCTTACATTTTTTTTAGGAAAGGTTATATTATTTAGAGAATAAAAAGTCATATATTGTAATATTTCTTATAATAGTATGACATATTCTCAAAATGAGTCATACCTTCATGATGCAAAAAAAATATATTATAACCCTATAAAACATATTCTCATAACATTGCCTTTTTGTTTTAAAATAATAACTCCTAATTATATTTTGAGTCCTAGAAAATAATTTGTAATTCTGAGAAAATGTCATATTATTTCACAATAAGAAATATTATGAAATAATAAAGTCAGAACTTCCATGTAAAATTGAGACTTTTTTTTTTTTTATTACAATGCAATCTCTTAATATTAAGCCTTTTTCTTGTAAGGTTTGCCACTTTATTCTCCAAATGTTGACTATTTAACTATGACGTATGGGTGAAACATAAAAGAAATAGAAGAAAAATTACAACTTTGGTCACATAACATTGCCATTTCTCTCAAAATATTCCAAATTTATTCTTGAAACCTCCATGCAGTGGCCCTGACGCCCCGCTGCAGATGTGCTTCTGTTTTAAAGACACTATACAAGTTTGTGGTTTATTGCTGTGCAAAGCCGACAGAGCTGACCCTGTAAGACTACATGACTGTACAGCACGCTCTGCTTTGTAGATAGAGATATATACTAAAGATGTATGGATGCACAGTTCTGAAAAGCCATTTAACCCCGAAAATGTTAAAGGTGAAACTGCTTAAGATAATAAAAACTGGAGATAGTGGAGCTCAAAAGGAAATGAAAACAAGAATATATATGATAAAGCCAGTCTTTCTGAGTGTACGTACTGTTGTAAAGAGAACTAATCAGTCTGAATGAAAGGGTATTTTGGATTTGTTGCACTTTTGAAAAAGAATACAAACTGCCAAAGATTGTGTTGAAAGTGCTGATACAGAAAGTACACAACTCACCCAATAATGGAAATCCTGTTTTTAACACGTAGAAAGTCTCTTGTACGAAAGCACCCAGCTCTATATTGTATAATAGTTCAAGCAGAATATGTATGTAATATTTTATGGTTCATAAGATGTATGAATGGATTTTTAAAAAGTTTTATGACAAAGAAATGTTTTATGTGACTGAGCTATGCTTGAGCCTGTCCAAACCTGTCAACGGAAAGAGAATGCTTTACAAAGAAATATCTTTCTGTGTTATTTTTTTAACCATGTCTGTAGTGAAGCAAGTCCTTAGTTTGATCATTCCTCACACCAGCCGACCTAAATATGAACACAGCTCCTCCATTCACTGACTGAGGGGCAGCAAAAAAGCCATTCATTCCAGTCCATTTCCAACTGGGTCAACCCTCCAGCATAGTGCATCATAACCACATCTCAAGTGTGTGTGTGGACATGTTTTTGTACTTTTATCCTTGTGAGAACTAGAGCTGTGTCCCAATTCCATACTATTTACTAACTGCATCATGCTTATTGTCATGGTATAGTGTTTTACCAGTTACTACAAGAAGAATATGTATGCTTAATAAACATTATACATCAAAAAGAGAAAGCAAAATATTACTCTAAAGATGTAATACTTGCTTTTTAAGCTGGAAACTCTCTCTCCCTTGGTTGAAGCCTCGATGTTCTGTTTCTAGCTGTTTCCTGAGCATTTCCATTGCATAATTCCAATTAAATATTACCACAAGCCAACTGTGGTACAGTAAAAATAGGGCTTTCAGGGCAGCCGCCATCTTCCAACAACTTTAATAGAGTTTCTTGAGTTAAAGAGAACCATAAAAATATGAATCATGCTTTAGTTGCCTTAAGCAGATATAGTCATTGGTGGAAGTTCTCAGGTAAAGGTTGAGTAAAAGTCCTGCATTCAAAAGTTTACTTAGAGCTGCAGTAAGTAACTTTTATTAAAATAACATTTTGTCATATCATGAAGGCTTCAGCAAATAAGACAAAAATATGTTTTACAGACATTACCTACTGCAGCTTTAAGTACAGAAGAATGATCCACAAATTAAAAAAAAGTATAAAACTTTATATTTGGCACTAAATGGCTCCAGTTAATGGTTATATTTTATATGACATTATGGTGACTGTTGCATTAATGCAGCATTTGGTTCTAGACAGAAATTTGTAGTTTTTTATATTTATCTTTGTCATTTTTACTTTGTGGACCTCAAAACGTTATTTAAATGAATCCCTGTGAGACATTGCAGAGGAAATGTCTCTTTGGACATACTAACAACTGATCTAAAACATGACAGAGCCTCAACTGCAGTACACGCTGCGTTTTTATCAAATTTTTTGTTTATTATATGCTGCTTTTTTTAAACTAGAAACCACAGCAATGTTGTGGAGTAGAAGTATGCATTTTCATAATATAGAGGAAATGGGAAGTAAAGTACCTTAAATTTGTACATATACACAGTACTTTTGTAAATGTACTTTCCACCACTGCATATAGAGTAGTAAAACAAATGAAATATACTGATACTTATATTTTCATTATAAACATTTTGCAACATTTCAGATCTGTTCATGGAAACGTCACATTTCAAAATGTATTTGTGTTCACAAATGAGTATAATAATTTCTAAGAAGCAGACTTGCAAAAATCAAGTGTAATTTGTTTGCATGTTGACTTTTTTGAATATACTTAGAACTGTCCTAGAATTGCTATTTAGTATGGAAATGGGACAGAGCTCAGATTTACAGTCCTCACTGCAGCTTCACATTGTGGACTTGTTTAGTTTTAGGATTTACATTTAGGGTTGTCAGTAAATCCATGAGATTATTATAGCATTATTTGCTGATCATGTCATAAAGCAAAGTCATGACCATTAACCACTCCCTCCAAGATTGCGCAGGCTTTTTTAGGGATTATTGCTGCCTAAAATCTCGATTTCACGCCAGCTTTTCTCAAAAATTGTGATGCATGTTGTGATCTTTTTAGGCCAGTGTCTCTCAGATGGGTTCACGTGCTCCCCTAGGGGTACTTTGGAGTACTAAAGGGGGTATCTGAAGTTTTTTTTATTTAAAAAATATCTTTCATTCATGATTCCTGAAATAATTATACTATAAGTTCAATAGAAAATGTAAATGTAAGTTTGATAAACCACATTTCATATCCAATATTCCTATTTTCAGTGCCATGGGGGACGTAAACTGTCAGCTGCAGTTGCCTCCCTGTCACCAAGAATGACAAAGATACTAACAAACTCAGGTTTCTCACTAAATTGGATGTGCAACTCACAAAATCATGGTGGATGGTTTAATTCATTGATGGATTCAAAACATTTGAAATGAAGTATTTCATTGTTTTTTCTTAATAAATTAGACACTGACTCTGCAGCGTTGTATTGTACTTCTTTCTTTTCCACCAAAAATGTTTTGGTAAATGGTAAATGGACCTGTACTTGTATAGCGCCTTTCTAGTCTTCCGACCACTCAAAGCTCTTTTACACTACGTGCCACATTCACCCTTTCATACACATTCACTCAGTGATGGCAAAGTCCATCGAACAGAAACTAACATTCATACACATTCACACACCGATGCACAGCATCAGGAGCAATTCGGGGTTCAGTATCTTGCTCAAGGATACTTCGACATGTGGCACCAGGAGCTGGGGATCGAACCCACAACCTTCCGATTAAGGAAGGTTGTGCCTCTGAGCCACAGCCGCCCATAACGTTTTTTTTACGTCGGTCAGGGGTTTGAAAAAATATTTCAAAGTCAACGTTAATGAAAAAAAGTTTGAGAAACACTGTTTAAGGTATTGTTTTGCAATTAAATTGTGTGAGAAAGTGAAAATTTAAAAAAAAAGTTGAATTCATTCATTAATAAAAATCAAAGGCTACTTGTTTCAGTGAGAATAAAATCGCTGATAATTTGGTGATGTTGAGCTCAACGTTTTGGCACTGCTATGATTGGTCGAATTTGCGGAAAAGTTGCGGTGATCAGATAAGATTTCATTTAGTATTAGATTACTAGTTACTTTAAAAAAAATATATATATATATATATATATATAAATGTCAGTAAAACAAAAAGGTAATCATTTGGATGGTAACAAAACAAACCGGAGACCATAAAATAATTCTGTCAGACCTCATTATGTCAAGATCAAAGTCCAATTATTCCATGAAGATGACATAATCATTCTGAGATCCCAGTAAACAAACCAGAAGAATAATGACTCCCTTCAATGGTTCTTTACAGTCCGTTAACATTAGAATTAGCATACATTAGGGTAAGCATTAAATGTAACATTGTAATAGGTTTATCATTTAGATGACTCTTAGGTATGGGTTAGGGCAAGGCTTAAAGCTGCAGTAGGTAATTTTATAAAATGTAACTTTTTATCATATTTGCTGACATGTTCACATCCTGACAGTAGCACATGAGACAGTGAAAAAATCAGGTTCATCTGGCTCCTCCTAGTGCTCCTAATGACATTAGCAAGAATCCACCAATCAGAACAGAGAATACTAGGAGGAGCCAGAGGAAGAAACTTGAATCCACCAATGCACATCCACTGAGAATGGAATTTACAGTGAAGTAGGAGACATCTTGTGTCCAGCAGGAACAGGGACTTTTGCATATTCAGAAATTGCAAAAATGTATCTCTTCATACTCTGGATAATGTAAGCCACACTTACTTCACATACTGTATGTCAAAGTGTTTTCATGCACAGATTATTTTAGTCCCAATTTTCCAAAGATACACTGTGTAAGGTCACCAGCTGGTCCCAAAAAATGCAATAGTAGTCCTCCAGAGTCTGGGATAAGAGTTAAGGAAAAAGGGATGGCAATTTAAGTTCTTTACAAGGATACAGTAGACTGTGTGTGTGTGTGTTTGTGTCTCCAGTGACCATGGCCACAGGACCATACCAGCCACCCCCACCCCCCAACACCACCAAAACACTGAAAGGACTGACCTAGTAAAAAAAGACATTAGCTTTTGTATTGGAACCTTAATCGTTCTAATTGTTTCAGCAGCAAGTGCAATAAATGACATGTTTTAAACCCTTTGTATTCTGTGTGTGCTTTGTTTTCACTGCTTAGGGTATTGGTACATCCTTCAAATGTCTGTGAAAGTTGTTTAAATATAAAATAAGATGAATAAATGCAGTTTTAAGTTTTCACCGTGTTATGTTTTTTTATAAACCCCCCCCCAACACACACAAACAAGTTTTTAACATGAAGCACTCTGTTTAATGCTGCAGGTAACGTTTATAGAAAATAACTTTTTGTCATATTCACTGAAACTTTCACAATATCCTGACAGTAGAACATGAGACAGATAATATGTGAAACAGTCAGGTTCCTCTGGCTCCTAATGGCATTTGTAAACAACCAATAGCGAAAGTTTAAAAAAGTATGACTTAAGTAAGTACTTTAGTATTTTTTTTTATAAAGTTACCTTCTGCAGCTTTAAACCCATCACTAACTAAATGTTATGTGACCATAACAGATCATGACATTAATTCTAAATCTAAATCAATGTGTTCAATTTGACAGCATTTGACACCAAACTGGCTTCATTTTTATTCAATCATAAAAAGTGTAGTTTGTGATGTTAAATTGGCCTTAAATCCAGTTCCAGCTGTTTTGCCTCTCTGAAACCTGCAGATATGTTATAGTTCTGTCTTTTCTGCAGGCCTTTTTAGGAAAGGAGAGGCGGAGGGATTTCTTATGATTGAGCTTAATATGAGTTGTTTGAGAAGGAAAGTTGTAGAGCTGTAAGACAACTATACAGATTTCACAAGGTATTGAATCCACTTGCTTGGCTTACTAACTGAACATCAACCTTCCATCAGGACATGCTATGCCTGTGAGTAGTAATGCTGCCATCTGGAGGACATCATGTAACGTAGTCAGTGACTTTAGCAGGGCTGAAGGGCCTTGGTCACACTACAAGACTTTCGTTGTCGTTGTCACACTATGACTGATGGGCAACGGGGGTCACACAATACAGGATCTTTCACAAGGAGGAATCCCAGAGTCTGTCTGCTCTGCAAACTAATCATTAATAATAGCATTGATAACAGCAAATTATGTTTAATTAACACACAAAAAACACACACAGAAAGAGTAACCATTACAGCAAACTGCTGTTAGAAAGTCAAATAAGCTGATAATTAGCCTGATCAGCCAGTGTCAGTAATCAATACACACATTATTAAAGCATTAATCAAACTAATGACTAACAGCGGTCAACGTCAGACAACATTATCATACTTTAATAGTTACCTCGTGTTTCTGTAGTGGAGACAAAACGTTACAAAATATACATATTATCAATTTGATTTCAACCAAAAGCTCCCTGCACCAAACTCCCTTTAAGAAATATCACATTTCCATAACTAAAGGCCATTGTCAACAGTATTCTTGTCAATTTAAGCCTCAGTATAATCCATAAAGATAAACTGCATAAGAGCCGTATCTATAAACTGTCCCAGCCACTGTCAGAGAACTGGACAGATATGGCACATTTAAAGTTTGTTTAAAGAAATGGTCCATTAGTACTCAGCCCTGTCAGCAAGAAAACTATTGAATATTGTTGTCCTCAGTCTGCCTGCTGTCGGCTGACACTTGACACTACCTCATCACCAGTCTGCCCTCATGGACCTGCATGCATGTCTTTTATTGTGTTGTTAGATTGATGTACACTGTGCATGTTTTTATGTCTGTGTTTCTGCTTTGCATGTTTCAGTTAGTGTCTAACAATTCAACAGTATTGTTTTATATAGTCCATATTACTCCCAATACCTGTCCTTTTATGGGTTTTGCTCTCGTATTATGAACCTCTGTGTTGCATGTTTTTTAATTTATATGAAATATAAGGGTGTTGAATAAGCAATTAATATTTTTATTGCATGCTTATAAATGATTAACTTTCTATGGCTTTGTCATTTTAATCTTATATTGTGTTCTTAGGTTGACTTCGTACCATCTGTCCAGAAACAAATGAAAAATAGTCTCTTTACAGAAATGTTTTATTAGTATGAACTCTCCCTGCTAAATTAAACCAATAAAAAATAATAAGCAAATACATAAGTATTATAATTATTATTATCATAATTACTTACTTACTACATAATTATCTTTATAGACATGTCTATGTTTTACACTTACTGTTCCCCAATAAAGCCCCTTTGAATATAATTGAATTGAGCGACAGACCTCCACACTTTACGCACGTTACGTAGGAAGGACAGGGGTTCCCGTACGCCTTTTTTTGCCCCCAGGGTGGCGAATTGATGCCCACCATATCCTCCCTCTGATTGGCTAGTACTAGTTGTTCTTTGGTTTGTGTGTAGGCATTACGCGTGAGATTGGTTAGAGATAGGGTAACAGTGTCAGGATAAGCCAATCAGAGGCAGAGTAGGGTTGGTTATGACTTCGCCATCCTGGGGAGAGGGGTGTCTCGCCAGAGTGCGGCCGGCAATTTACGCAGTTTACGTCCAATGTTTTGGCGTAGCAGAGGCCCAGGTGAAAGGAAGTGGTCCCACCGTGAACGAGTAGCCACCAAATCGAGACAGCAAGAGTGAATGGCAGAGAAGATATCCAACGAATGAATTCAAACATTTTTAGCCAAGACCATCAGTTGAGAAGCACGCAGCAGGTGAGAGAGTGTACCGCACTGCGGGCTGTCTTTCTGGAATAACGTTGCTGTTTTGCATGTGTTGGCCTTGCTAGCTGGAAGCTAGCTCGCAGCTGGCTGACATGGTGATGGTGCACGGTGGCTGCTGTTACTGTCCGGACGTTGTGTTGCGTTACCCGCTGTACATTTTGGGTAAAGCCATGTTCCAGTCAGACTCTATAAACCACACAGCCGGGGCCACACGTGCCTTTGGCCATTAACATAGCCAAGTCAATAAGTGCTTCCAGACAGGCGCAATCCGTATGCTTTAGCTAACGTTCGCTAGCAGTGCTAGGCTACGTTAACGCAGTGAGAAGGTTTCATCGCCCGGTCGGTACCGCTATGTTAGCGGCTAATAGGCTATCTGAGACATCTTTACAGCGGCTTCATGTCTTTACAGAGTAACATCAGCGGAGCTAACGCAACGGGAACTGTGTGATTGGTCAGCACCCAGTAGCATGTCAGTGTAAGCTAACGGTCACGGTTCATACGAGGCCAGAGACCCGGAGAGGCTCTGAGGCTCTGCGGTGGGTCATCTCTAATTATTTCATCAGCTTCATTGTTGTGGTTGTGTGTATTAGCTAACGTTAGTTTTCTGGAAATGCTAACGTTAGACAACAATGCGGCTGCTTAGTTGCTAACTAGCTAGCCTATGTTACTCAGCGTGCTCTCTGCTGATAACTAACGTTAACGCTGATAACTTAGCGTTAGCTTTAATGTTATGGTCATGTGCATGGACTCGGCTAACGTTACTTTTCTATAGCCTTAAATGAAGCAACTTAGTTGCTAACTAGCTAGCTAAAGTTACTCAGCATGGTCTCTGCTGGCAGTAACTTAAAGGTAATAGTCATAGCTTTAATATTGTGTTCGTGTGTATTAACTCGGCTAACGTTACTTTTCTCTAAATGCTCAGCGGAAATGGAGCTGCTAGTTGCTAAATAGCTAGCGAATGTAGCTCAGCATGGTGTCTCTGTGAGCAGTAACAACTTTATGACCAGGCGTTCAACTGTTACCATGAGCTAGTGCTCACTCTCTGACAGAGGTGACGGTGTGTTACGTAGGTTCTAACGTTACCGAGTACAAATGAATGTCATACTATATTGGTTTAAAGACTTAATGACAGTTACGGTATGTGATGCAGTAAACGGGAGTTTTTCTGGCTGTTGTTCTGAACATTGTGTTCTACATGTATGCTTGACATAGCTGACAGAGAGCTTTTGTGCAAAACTGTGGCATGTGTGTACAAGCTGTAAAGGTTCAGTGATTTAACGTTGATGTTGGGATGAAGGTTACTGAAGCCTCTCTCAGATCAACAGTCTTTGTCAACCTTCTTTCTGTTTAATTTGTCATTTTTTGAAATAGTCCTTTTTCTATGTTGTTTCCCTGGCAGTCTGTACTTAGGACCTACTGTGAGTCTGTAACTCTTCCTGCATGACCTAAAACAGTGTCCAGCACAGTCACATTAACAGTTGCAGTATGTTTTAGTGTTACGGTCTAAATATGTGAACACTGAAAGTGTGTCTTGTTGTGTAGGCTTTCAAGACGTGTGAATGTAGTTATATTCATATGTGGTGCTTTCACATGCTCCTCAGATCGTCCAGTTTCCAGAGTTCAGATTGGGAACATGTTCTTCCAGCTATGGTGTGTTCATGAGCTTTAAAGCTGCAGTAGGTAACTTTTATAAAAATAACTTTTTGTTACAAAAACAACCAACCAGAGCCAAGAAAGATAGAAAGACCCGTTGGGTTAGTGACTAGAAGATAGTTGAATCTCATTCCCAGCATTGATATTGGATGACCTGGGAATGACACTCAACAATCAACTATCTTTCTTGACTCTGATTGGTTGTTTAGGAGCATTAGGAGGAGCCAGAGGAGCCTGATTGTTTCACAGATGATCTGTCTCATGTTCTACTGTCAGGATATAGTGAAAGTTTCAGTGAATATGGGTTAAAAAAAGTTGCCCACTGCAGATTTAAGTCATAATGTGGAAACAATATGGACGCTACAAAGATGATGAAGAGTTGTATTTTTTTCTCTCGGAGCATTTAAACAGCAAAAATTCATGTTGCTGTTGAATTATTGTGAAAGAGCTTGACGCGTAATGTTGATGAGTTTGTCCCAGACTTGTTGGTGCACCGGTGCATTCACTGTAAGATACTGCTTTATCTGACTTGTTATCAAAGTCAATGCTAATAAGTGACTTTTCTAACTAATCTAGGTGACTCTACGTGGGCAGTAACTAACATTTGTGACCGAATATCACAATACAAATTACATGTGAGCAAAATGTGATGAATGAATGAACATTTTATTTTGTCCGCCATGTTTCAGTGTAATATAATGGCAAGTCATGTACTAAAATATTTGCTGACTTTCATATTTGAGGGAGTGGTGACATAAATCTTCCCAGTTTCCGATTATTCTGACACCCTGTGAGGGCTGGGTTATATTTGCTATATTCACCAATTGTCGCACAGATCAGTTTGATGAAGCATCTCCAGAAATAGAATACTGTGAGGATATTGGTGAGGTTTTTCACTCTTGTTAAAATGATATGTTTCATTTGAATGGTATGTCTCTGTTGTTTGTTGTTATGTTACTCATGTTCTATTGTAATACAGCATTTCTCTCTGGCATATGCTGACTCTCGTTGACTCATGCTGCCAATGTGGGTGATTTGATCATTTTCTTTATAGTGTGAGGCTGCAGAGGGGAAAAAAAGCCACTTAGCATGTACGGAAAACAGGATTTAAAGAGAGCCAAAATGGTTATCCTGTCTATTTGTGAGTCTATATGTTGTGGTCTGTGCTGCAGTTGAAGTTTTAAAGAAGAAATCAAAGCACAGGAAGGCTATTGTGTTATTGCAGTATTTTAGTAGTGCCTGGCACAGCTTACACACTACCTTACTTTTGTCTATTTCCTGTGTTCCGGGTTTACACAGGAATCCAAAATGACTCCAAACGTCTGCTTTTAAAGTTGCTGGTCTAACACTGCTGCTACCTGCTTCGGTTGCCATGTTGTTGTTGTGTGGTCGAGTGCGGCCTCCGTCTGTACAACGCAAATCACACAAAGGTGTGGCCAGCGGCTTGAATGGATTCAGGGGATTTAATGATTGGATATTGAATTGGGGAAAAATATATGCATGCATTGATGAATCGATATTTTTACCCACCCCTACATTTTATCCACAAAAAAGTTGAGAGTTTCTTACCTGAGCGCTCACATCATGTACATTTGACATTTTGCCAGTGTTTGAGTCACCAGTGAGGTTCTGTTGTGATTTGCAGTTTGCACTTTGTTCTTGGTACAGACACATCTCCATGTCAGATTTAAGGAATTGCATGAATGAAGCTCCATAGTTGAGCATCAGGCTGTGAGTTTAAATGTGAGCGGCTCAATCAACATAAAGACTTGTGTCTGCTCCGCTAAGCTGACTGCTGATATTGGTTACAGATGTGGGGATCGACAGTCTTCACAGCAGCATCATGTGTTGAAAAGCTTGAGGTGCTCAGTATACCTTGGTCAGCATCTGGCACCCTTATGATTCTCATTTTGCTTTCTGCCTTTGTTTTTGCAGAGCTGGAGGACCTAGACACAATCCCTGTCACTCTCCATTTGTGTAGAGGTGAGAGGATTTACTTGTGAGTGTAACAGTACTATCACAGAATGATAACCAGCACATGAGGAACAGATGCAGTCTCTGTGGAAGCCAAACTAACATGAATGCGTCAACTTTTTCATTGTCATGTATTGCACATATAGAGTTCTATATGTCTGTGTCTGAAATGCATGATTATAACATGTTCTCTGTTTTTGTTTTTTTTTAGGTCTGTTCCCACCTAAATGAAGGGGAGCATCAGGAGTTGATTAAGAGATATTGTATCATGAAGCCCAGATTAAGTGTTGTCTGCTTATCCAAAAAGTCTCAGTTTTTACCTGTAAGTATATTTCAAAAGACATTCATTCTGTGAGCATCATTCCAGCCATCGACACATAAAAGATGGACGTTGCGTCTCCACTTCCTCCAACTGTCCAAAGATGAAGCCAAAGTATCCCGGATGTGGCTATGTGTATATAGCTTCAAATAACTGCTGATGATAAAAATAAACACTTGAACATATATCAGCGTGATTAAAACTACCTTAAATGACAAACTATCTTTGGGAAAAATTTATTTGAGGTGTACTAACATAGAGGCAGTGGGCTGTATGACCTATACTGCAGTCAGCCACCAGGAGGAGATGGAGATGGAGATGCTTTGGCTTCACTTTTGGACAGCTGTCACATCTTTATATATGCCAGTGATTCCGGCCTATTCTCCAAGTAATCTTCTTATTTAGCACTTTTGGTCTCAAGCTGTGAACAAACTATTTTCTGTCTCCAAATGAGATGTTTCAGCGAGCTCGAAGAAAGCTCCGAGCAAGCTGTTCCCAATCGCTGAACATGCTGTTATCAAGCTCTAACCAGGCTGTGGTCATGTTCTAAACAAGCTCTAAATAAGCTGCATTCAGTATTCAATACTTTGACATTTCAACAGGTTTGGTAGGAATTTGGTTTGGTGAGCTCAGGTCACACATGGTAACCCCCTGGGACATTAAAACAAACAAATCCATGCATGTGATTAAACAAACCCATATGGACGTTATTACCACCACGAACTAGCTTTGATATAGCAATGTATATATACACTTACAGTGTCCTCAGTCCTGTTTGCACTGGACTAGTGGGGCGTTCTATTTGTCCACCGAACTCGATCTGCGAGTCGGTTTCCTGAGTTACGAACCAGAAGTTGCAAACACAACGCCCCCGAGGTCATATATACGACTCGTCAAGTTGCTGAACTCAGAGGACCCCGAGTTCAGTTACCAAGATGGCTACTCCGAGCATCACACGTAGTAAACATTGTGGTTTTCTACTATTTTAAGCACTTTTGTCTTTGTTGTAACCAAATGAAGAAGTCGCACACACAGCACTGTATACTGTTACCTATATTCATGTCGCTACAGTCTTATTATGTGTTAAATACGCCTAATTAGTTATTTTGTAGCTTGTGCAGCTGAAATTGGCTAGAGATGCTCCATGTTGCTATGACAACAATGCCGAGTCTTGAGCAGAAAGCAGAGCAGTAGCCTAACGTTAATCAAAACGGAATATTCAGATATCAAACTGTGAAATATGATACGCTAATCACTATAAACGTTACGAAACGTCCAAACTGCCTATTGCAACCAAGCTCGTCGTGTTGTGTGCCAAACAGAACGCAAAAACCCGCGGTTATTCGTTTTCCAACATGGATGTGATGTCACACTCGAGCTGCAAGTCGCGATTACAAGACAAAACGAATGCGCCAAAGTGATACCTTGGGACATCCCATAATGTTTAATAATTGCTGTGGTTATATTTGATCTTAATCCCGTGCCATTCGGCCATATCCATAATTTCAAAGGTAACAATTTCCCTGCATAGTACCTACCGTATTTCGCCTAACATGTAGCTCACGTAATATTGGTGACTAGTAGCATTAGTATATAAAAACACCTCATATTAAGGCAACAAAAACCTAACGATTCCTATATTCAGGTGATTATACACTAATAAAAACATACCTATGAATATTATGTTCCATTTCTAGATCCTCCTCTAAGTGTTTTTCAATGGACCAGCAAGTTCTAAGAAGCTGTTGTTGAAGTCTAAACAAGCTGGTCATTTTAGATGTCAACCAAAAGACATTTTCTGCTGAGAGAAACCTCTCAAACCTGTTCAAGTCCATTGCACCCCAACCGAACAACAATGTTCAGACATTGTCTAGTAATAATTTGGCAAAACACGTGCAGAGACCTAGGCTGCTGTCTGGCAGCCCCGCCTTTGCTGATGTAGTTTTTCACCTTTCTCAATGGAGAGTGAGACAACTGTTGTATCTGCTGTCTACAGTACATTAATACACATCCTCCTGTCCCCTGGCAGTGAACTTTTGACAGGAGAGGAGGATGAAATGAGATAAAGTGGACGACTGGAGGAGCCCAGCCCCCTCACCTCCCCCTTTCTGAAGCATGGCAGGCCTACAGCTTGTCACTCCTGCCACTTCACCCATGGGGCCTTTCTTTGGTCTGCCATGGCAGCAGGAGGCTATCCATGATAACATCTATACACCTAGGAAATATCAGGTAATGCATGGATGTATCTACTAGCTGCTTGATGTATATAACCTACAGGCTATGGCATGAACAAATTAAGAGCAATTAATTGCTATTTTTTTCCCATCATCAGCTCACTGTCTGTCAAACTGAACCTCTCTCCACAGGTAGAACTTCTTGAAGCAGCTCTTGAACATAATACTATCGTCTGCTTGAATACTGGCTCAGGGAAGACCTTTATTGCAGTACTTCTAACAAAAGAACTCTCCCACCAAATCCGTGGACATTACCAAGAAAATGCGAAGAGGACTGTTTTTCTGGTGAACACAGGTACCAGCAAGACACAGTTTCCTGGCATCGCTGGATACATAGAGTGATTTTACTTGCATTTTTACTGTACCTCTGCTCTACATTGTCCAGCTTTGTCTGTAGTTCAGCAAGCAGCTGCAGTCAGGACTCACTCGGACCTCCAGGTGGGAGAGTACATAGATTTGGAGGAGACCTCAGCATGGACTGACAAACGGTGGAGTCGAGAGATAATCGAGAATCAGGTGTGCTTGGTCATTCGTATCGCCTTTTACAATATTTAACACTATCTTCACTCTACTTCCGTGCTAACAGGTTGCGACTGTCTCACTGAGTTTTGTCAGGTTTAAGAATAGAACCAGGTGGTCCTGTAATAAAGGTGTACAGTACAGGTCTTTACAGCGAACTAGGATTTGTAATTTAAAAAAATACATTGTTAAAGCTGCAGTAGGTAACTTTTATTTCTGTAAAAACATCAGGTTCCTCTGGCTCCTCCTAGTGCTCCTAATGGCATTTGCAGGAATCTAAAGGGCCCAAACAAAAGCAAGCAATCAGAGGCTAAAAGGCTCTATAGTTACAGAGCACTGCACAGTTGGGTTAAACTCCATTCTGCACATTTTCCATCACCGCTCTAGTTATTTCCGTTACGGTTACTTTATATGTTAATTTGAGACAAGGCTAGCTTGTAAAACCATGTTGCATTGTTATCTTGTGTTGTTTTATTGACAGTGAATCATCAAACAAAACACAACACGCTGACTGACAGTGAGATGTTTGACTCAGGACTGATGATTCAAATAGTTGACAGCAGGCAGCTCTAGTTATTTGCACTTCATTAAGTGTCATAGGTGGACTGAGACACACTGGTCACTGTTTACAATAATATTCTCCTCCCTCCTGTCATTCTCTGCTTTCTCTCACACAGGTGCTGGTCATGACTTGCCACATATTCCTGCACATTCTGAGGAATAAAATCTTACAGTTGTCTAAAATCAACCTGGTGGTTTTTGATGATTGTCACCTGGCCATCACGGACCACCCCTACTGTGAGATAATGAAGGTGAGACTGTGGTTGCAAAGTAACATTCATGTATTTTTTCACACGTTTGTCATCTAAGGGAACTGTGAATGACCTGGCTCTCCTGTCTGTCTGTGCAGCTGTTTGAGGGCTGCTTGTGCAGTCCTCGTATCCTGGGTCTCACAGCTTCCATTCTGAATGGGAAGTGTGACCCGTCAGAACTGGAGCAAAAGATCCAGAATCTGGAGAGAATCCTGAAGAGCAACGCTGAAACTGCCACTGACCTTGTGGTCCTGGACAGGTACTACAAGCCATTATATATAAGCTGTACCACCCAGGGCTAAATAACTACTCTCTGGCTACATATGTCCAGAATTGTGTTAGTTACAACTAAACATTGAAGCAAGTAATTTCACTGATTCAGACAGATGCTGAAAAAATAGTATGTAAAACTCAACAGACTGACAGAGCAATAACAAAGACTTCTAGTGTAACCTGCGCACTGTGTGTTATTTCAGATACGCCTCTCAGCCAAGAGAAGTGGTGCTGGACTGCGGCCCCTACATGGATAAGAGCGGCCTCTCCTCCCGACTACAGGCAGAACTGGACGAAGCTCTCCACTTCCTGCATGACTGCAACATATCTGTTGCCAGAGAGGACCGTGATCCCACATTCATCTCCAAACAGGTTGGGGCTAGAAAGATTTTCTTGGTTGATTCAAAGTGTGTGTGTGTTGTGTGTGTGTGTGTGTGTGTGTGTGTGTGTGTGTGTGTGTGTGTGTGTGTGTGTGTGTGTGTGTGTGACAAACAGGAATTTTCTTTCGGCGTGTACTTTTTACTGCATAGAAATTGAACAACAGGTGTTTGATAAAAATCTTTCTTATTACTGATTTTATTTTTATTTATTGTGATTTTGATAAATTTGGTAAATAATGGTGGTGCTTGGAGATGTAATGTGAAAGGAGTCTTTTGTAGTTACAAACCCACAGAGAATTATCACCAGCTCTAGAGCATATTAGCTGATTGTAGTTAATTCTTTTCCACCCTGCAAACTCGGCTCTCATCAGACTTGTTTCAGGCAGCAGCTGGTTTCAGTGAAAAAGCTCCGAACCTGCTGTCCACACTCTCTCTGTCCTCTCCAGGTCCTGAGTGACTGCTGGGCCGTGCTGCAGGTGCTGGGACCCTGGTGCGCGGACAAGGCGGCGGGCATCATGGTGCGGGAGCTCCAGAAGTACATCAAACACGAGCAGGAGGAGCTCAGCCGCAAGTTTCTGCTCTTCACCGACACCATCCTGCGCAAAGTGCATGCCCTCTGCGAGGAGCACTTCTCCCCCGCCTCGCTGGACCTCAAGTTTGTCACCCCCAAGGTCCTCCGGCTGCTTGAAATCCTACACGAGTACAAACCCTTTGAGCGGCAGCAGTTTGAAAGTGTGGAGTGGTACAACAACCGCAACCAAGACAACTATGTGTCCTGGAGCGACTCTGAAGATGAAGACGAAGATGAGGAGGTGGAGGCCAAAGAGAGGCCCGAAGCCAACTTTCCCTCACCGTTCACCAACATCCTGTGTGGGATCATCTTTGTAGAAAGGCGTTACACAGCTGTCGTCCTCAATCGGTAGGGCTCTGTGATCTCCATGGTGTGAGAGCTGTACTTCACACTGTAAACCAAAAACAATCCAGATTACTGACTTTCTATTGGTTTTCTGTTATTTATTATACAGTCATACAGGGTTGTTTTGTGGTCTCTAGTGTGTACTAAATGGCTCTTAAAAAACTAGAACTACCTTTTTAACTAGGAATGACCATGTTGAAAACATGACATGCTACTAATATATTTGCAGAATTGCAGAAATTACATTTTGACTTCTGGAAATTAGGGCTGCACAAGTAATCATAATATTATTGAAATTGCAATATGGCCAAGGGCAATATAAGCACAGAAGTTGCAATTTGTTGATAAATGTTACAAACAGTAACATAATAATATTAAATATTATAATACATATGTATTATAATGAATTACTGTAGTGCTGCAGAGATGCTTTAAGAAACAAATGTTGTTCTCCAGATGTAGGAAAACATGTTTATTTGGTACAGACTCCAAGTAGTGAAAATGAAAAATGTGATGCAAAAATGATAATTCCCACTAATCGTGAATCATATTGTAATATCTGTCAGAATGTAATTTTTTTTACTATATCGTGCAGCCCTAGTGGAAATTCCTTTCTTGAGATCAAAAATTGTATTTCAGCCAATACCAGATATTGTACATAGTATAATTGTTACTAGCAGGAATATCGTTTTCACCTGTACACAATTGTATTTCAGATATCTGAAACGACATTCTTATAATTTGCTTAAAATTCCAAGCTGAAATATCAATAATGGAATTCAGACTAGTCAGAATTGGATTTTAGATATGTATTATTCCATTTATGATCTCTGTAATGTAAGAACAATTGTAGATATTTCCACTATTAAGAATTGGTTTATTGATATCATTTTTTTGACAGTTGTAGACATCAATAGAATTGAACTAGTCAAATGTACATTATGGATATGTCTTGGATGATTTGGAATTATGTTAAAAATTAATTGTAGATGTCTAATTGAGTTTGAATAGAAGTCAATGGTAAAAGCGGACTTGTTGTAATTCATTTACAGATATCTACAATGAACATTGCCATTGGTAAAAGTTTAATTGTTGATGTCAAAGATTAAAGCTGCACTTTGTTTTGTATAAAAATAACTTTTTGTCATAGTTGCTGTGACATTAGTAGTACATGAGACAGATAACCTGTGAAAAAATCTGGTTCCTCTGGCTCCTCCTAGTGCTCCTAGACTCCAGGCCTGGTGTTACCTAATGCACCTTTAAACTTTTCACTTTTCAATTTTAGATCCATAATTACATTATGCATATTCTGGCTTGGAATTCTAACTAGTCAAAAAGCAGTTGTTGACATCTACAATGGCTACTACCTCTACTAATTCAATGTAAAAAGGGCTTGACCTAGAGCCACTGCAGCTGAGAGAAAGTGTAACATTGATGTGTCTTCCTCAGTCTGATCAAAGAGGCGGGGAAGCAGGACCCGGAGCTGGCTTACATCAGCAGCAACTTCATCACTGGCCACAGCATCGGCAAGAACCAGCCGCGGAACAAGCAGATGGAGGTGGAGTTCAGGAAACAAGAGGAGGTACACAGACGGCAATCATGTGGATGTATACAGTAAACTAGGACAGTAAGCTGGAGACATTACGTTTCTTGTTCATTTGGCACATCCAGCTACCACAGGGCCTTTTTTTTTTTTTTTTCAGAACTGCCTTTGACTGCTTTGACATTATCAAAGCAGTATTAAGACTCGATTCTGTTCTGCCCTCCCTTTTTCTCTCACAGGTCCTCCGCAAATTCCGGGCTCATGAAACTAACCTGCTGATCGCCACCAGCATCGTGGAGGAAGGCGTGGATATTCCAAAGTGTAACCTGGTGGTGCGCTTCGACCTGCCCACAGAGTACAGGTCCTATGTCCAGTCCAAAGGCAGAGCTCGGGCACCCGTCTCCAACTACATCATGCTGGCTGACAGTGAGAGGACCAAAGCCTTCGAGGAAGACCTCACTACCTACAAGGCCATAGAGAAGGTAACCTTTTAAATGAGGTAATAGGATAAGAAAACTGCTACCATTATTCAACTGTCTCATCAAGGAGGTATGTTAGAAGAAATGATTTGAAGTGAAGCAGAATGAGTTGGTGATGAGCATCTCACTTTACTTTTGAGCAGATCTTAAGGAACAAGTGCTCCAAGTCAGTGGAGGTAAGTGAGTTTGAAGTAGAGCAGGTGTTGGACGATGACAACATCCTCCCACCCTACGTGCTTCGGTCTGAGGATGGAGGTCCCCGGGTCACCATCAACACAGCCATTGGACACATCAACAGGTAGGGAGATGTTTTTGCAAAGTTGTAAGTGTCCCTATAAAGTCAAAAATCAGTTTAAAGTGTTTGTATCATTTGTCTGCTGCTATACATCACCTATTCTAGTAAGGTCTGAATTTAAAGGAAACACATTTATATAATAATAGCACCCGCTAGCCCTTTCATAGGAAGTTTAAATCCTCAGTTCATAAAGGAAATGACACAAACAAACAATAGCATTACTTAGTGTCTCTGGTGCTCTCATGCTCAGGTATTGTGCCCGGCTTCCCAGTGACCCATTCACCCACTTAGCACCAAAGTGTAAAACCGTCGAGACGCATGATGGACGCTTCCAGTCCACACTCTACTTACCCATCAACTCCCCTCTGCGAGTTCCTGTTAAGGTAAGGAATTTTGACGCAGTGTACTTTTTCTGGGATTTAGAAAGAATGAATCATATTACAACTTCTTCAGGTTCATTTATTTTATTGATGTGTCACTGTGTATACAGGGTCCTACAATGAACTGTACCAGACTGGCAGAGAAAGCAGTTGCACTAGTATGCTGTGAGAAACTCCACAAAATAGGTAAAACCAGAAATTAGATTTTGCAGACGCCTGTGTAGAACTTTTGCCTGCATCTGTCTTAGCTTGTTTATCTGGCTTTCTTCCCACCCAGGTGAGCTGGATGATCACCTGATGCCGGTGGGGAAGGAGACAGTGAAGTACGAGGAGGAGCTTGACCTTCATGATGAGGAGGAGACCAGCGTACCAGGCCGGCCCGGCTCTACCAAGAGGAGGCAGTGCTACCCTAAAGCCGTAAGAAAGTCTCTGCTGGAGTTCACTGACTCTAGAATCTCAAAGCAAAAACAGTTTTCATTTGTTTCATTGAATGAATACTAAAAATACTTTGGACTGTCTGACTGACCTTTTCGTTTTATTGCTGATATATTCTTATTAAAACAACTTCAGAGATAGAATTACTGTAGTAAAAACATAATCATTTTAAGTAATGCCAGGGCTATACTTAACTTTATTTGCACATAGCATTGGTGCTACAGAGGTTGAAAGTTTTTTAGTACAAAACTTCCCCTACCATGTCCAAAAACAACCAGTGCAACATTTTGCCCATAATTAAAGTCATTTGCAGGGGCCACTTGTTATACATCCATGTATTACACTTGGATGTATTATACAGCAGCAAGTGTATAGTACACTTAATACATTTATATATACACTCACTATGAAAGCTAGATTTCAAAAGATTTACCAGAATGCAACAGACTGTGAGTCGGCAGATTGCCTCCAACTGAATACTACTTGCCTCACCCTCCTGTTCTAAGGGTGTAGGAGAAGTAGTCTTCAGGTAACGTAAAAACATAAAAACTCAAGCCAATGTTTGGTTTGTCCGTTCTCGGCTACTGTAAAAACATGGCAGCTCAACATGGTGAACTCTGATTCCATTTCTGCCAATAGATCCTAAACCCTACACATTGGAGCTTTTTAATGTCTGTTTATTTATGTGTCAGAAACAATGGGCATTTGAAATGCTTGTGCATAATTGTGTACATGGTTTCTCTCCTTTTTGTCCCCTCCAGATACCAGAGTGTCTGCGGGACAGTTACGCAGTACCGGAGCAGACTTACTACTTATATGTGATTGGGATGGTCCTCACCACCCCTCTCCCGGATGAACTCAACTTCCGAAGGAGGAAGCTCTACCCACCGGAGGACACCACCAGGTGCTTCGGCATCCTGACTGCCAAACCCATACCTCGAGTGCGTTGCCTGGTTAAATCCTAAATTCTCTCACACACATCTATACTTCTATAAATGTTGAGCACCGTCCTCTCGTCATTGGTTTTGGATGATAAATGATGCTTTCTTTCTGTCCAGATCCCCAATTTTCCGGTGTACACTCGCTCGGGTGAGGTGACCATCTCTATCGAGCTGCAGAAGTCCGGCTTCGCACTCACCGCCGCCCAGCTCGACCTCATCACCCGCCTGCACCAGTACATCTTCTCCCACATCCTCCGCCTGGAAAAACCTGCCCTGGAGTTCAAGCCCACACTGGCTGACTCGGCGTACTGCGTTCTACCTCTGAATGTTGGTGAGTAGAGTCATTGGCAGGCAAGCTTGGTGGATTACTTTTCCAGATGTGTGGAGATGCTGATTGGTTTCCTTCCATAATCCTCTGCTTCTTTAGTTGGGGACTTGAACACACTAGATATGGACTTTAAATTCATGGAGGACATTGAGAAGTCTGAGGCCCGCACTGGCATTCCTACCACTCAGTACACCAAGCAGAACCCCTTCACCTTCAAGCTTGAGGACTACCAGGATGCTGTCATCATTCCAAGGTACCATATGAACTCCTTTATGAGATAATGGCAGAGCGGTTTTACTGTGTGTAAATGCTTCCAAGGAACAAACTGACACGGACTGCTCCCCTCCCAGGTATCGCAACTTCGACCAGCCTCATCGCTTCTATGTCGCTGATGTGTACACAGACCTGACGCCGCTTAGCAAGTTTCCTTCACCAGAGTATGAGACATTTGCTGAGTACTACAAAACCAAGTACAACCTTGACCTGTCCAACCTGAACCAGCCGCTTCTGGACGTAGACCACACCTCCTCCAGGTCAGCAGCATGGGGATCATCAGGGGGTCTTAAAAAGTCTAAGAATATTATCGCAACTGCAATATGCAAATCACAGAAGCTGCAATCTTTTGATGAAGGTAAAATTGGTGACAAAGCAGCATCATAATGAAATACTGTAGTGCTGCAGAGATGTCCTGGCCTATACATTTTATTCTCCAGATTTAAAAAAAGATGTTTGCTTATTACAGACTGCCAAAACGTTCACATCATGATTTTTTAATGTTTTTTGTTTTCTTTTTGTAAAAATAAAATCTGTCAAAATAAGTGCAATATAATATTTTTACCTTATCTAGCCATAATTGGCATATAATAGGTCTTAAAAAGGCCTTAAAAAGTACATTTTGACCCGTTGAAACCTGCAGAAACCCTGGATCATGACAGTTAAATATAACTGTAAACCACTATCCACTTCTACACTTCACAGTGTGTTTTCAGGTTTGGGGAGTACTACTACATTTGTTACAAAAGTTGCATAAACCCTTTTGTGTCTCCAGAAGGAGCAGTGCGTCTGATAAATTGCCTCAAGTACTCTCACTTGAGTGATGTCACTTGAGTCAGTGTCAGTTTGCGCTGAAGACGGCAAGATAGAAAATGAAAAAAAAAAACTGCTGGTGTGGAGCCCCCTCATCCTTTCTGCTTGAGGCCCTGGCCTACATTAGCCACTACTAGCACGATGCACCCATATCTCAGACAGAACTGACAGCAGTTGAGTTGCATTGTGGATAATTAAGGCACTAGGTATTGTCATGGAAGGAGAATGTGTGGAATATAATTTAAAAGAATAAAGAGTGCAGTTTTTAGAATATTCTGGCTTAAATCATGGTCTTATAATGTAATTAGCAACAGCCAAATGTGAAAGCACAGTGTCATAAAGTCACAGTGTTAGCATGCCCCTGCATTCTTTTTTTCTGATGGGTATACAGTTGACACTCTTGTTTTCTTGCGCTCTCAGACTGAACCTGCTAACCCCTCGGCACCTGAACCAGAAGGGGAAAGCCCTGCCCCTCAGCAGCGCTGAGAAGAGGAAGGCCAAGTGGGAGAGTCTGCAGAACAAACAGGTAACGGCTGCTTCTGTTGTCTTACAGTGAGAACAATGTGTGAAACCACAGGGTCCCCAGGCAAAACGTTTGCTGCAGTGCAATGCAGTGTCATTCAATAATAAACGGCATATACCTTGTGCTTGTTGAGAAGGTGTATAAATGTTTTTTGCTGTGATAACTGACCAGATTTGCTGTGCAGTGTATTTGGTGTCTGATAATATGGTTCCCTGTCTAAAATGCGTGATTCTATAGATACATGCAGGTCCCTCAAATAGCATTGTTCATTTGTCGGTCCATTGTACTGCTCTTTATTTATTATAAAGTTGTAATATAGTTTGTCATAAATCTTTATTTCAAAATTTCCTTTTTCATTTTTGCATTTTCATCATGGAAGTCAGTTTAATCCTAGTGAATATTTACTATGGAGTGATCATTTACTGTGTATGTGCTCTGATCCAGTATAGTCACTGGTTGAAAATACCTGGTTTTCCTTACACAAAGCACTGCTGTTGGTATACATTTAGACATGGTGTGTGAGCTTGAGTGTGAGCATCACTACAGAAGTGAGTTTCAGCTTCATAACCTTACGTTGGTTCTGTACTGCAACAGTCCTGGTCTAATGGTGTCTCGTGTTTATAAGATCCTGGTTCCAGAGCTGTGCGCCATCCACCCCATCCCCGCCTCCCTGTGGAGGAAAGCAGTGTGTCTACCCAGCATCCTCTACCGCCTCCACTGCCTCCTGACCGCCGAGGAGCTCCGAGCCCAGACAGCCAGTGAAGCTGGAGTGGGAGCCCAAACCCTGCCCCCTGACTTCAGGTCCCCTTTACATACTCTACACAACATATGAAATTATCCACTTTCAGTTATTCCATTTGCTGAATCAGAACCTTCTCTTCAGATTTGGATCATTTGTGTTTAACCGCACAGTTTCCCAGCATTCTAATGTATAGATGTGTATGTGTGTGGCAGGTATCCAAACCTGGACTTTGGCTGGAAGAGATCTATTGACAGCAAAACGTTCATCTCCTGCCCGGAGTCCTGTGGCGAGGACGGAGAGGGTCACTGTAAGCACCAAGAGACTGTAACCCCTGACCCCAACTCCCTAACACATCCCAGTAGTCACCACTCTCCCCGGCCCCGTGCAGCCCTCGAGCCCGGAGAAGCCACCTGCACGAAGAACCTAATCAATGGCACTGCCCTAGTCGCCAACTGTGACGACGAAGGCCACCAAGATGAGCACCTTCACCAACATGACAATTGCCAACGCTCCCAGCCCAGCTCCCCTGGGCTGCAGAGCCCTGAATCAATACAAACCACTACCTCAGTTCCTGTGCAGCCCTCTCACAGCTTGAAGAAGCCCAGCTCCAGTCCTCCGCAGCCTAGTGATGAATGTACACCAGGGAGGACCTCAGACCACAAAAATAAAGCTACCTCAGTCTGCAGCCGGGCAGCCACGGGTCCCAATGCTCCCACAGCACCTTCTCCCGACCTCGCCATTGTCCCCCAGCTTGGAGCCCAGGCGGGAGACTCCCCCAAAAGCCTGGGGCCCAACCCGGGCCTCATCCTGCAGGCCTTGACCCTATCCAACGCCAGCGATGGCTTCAACCTGGAGCGGCTGGAGATGCTTGGAGACTCTTTCCTCAAACACGCCATCACCACATACCTGTTCTGCACCTACCCCGACGCTCATGAGGGTCGACTCAGTTACATGCGCAGCAAGAAGGTAAGACAGGTCACGACTTGTGGCTTCATAAGGGGAATGACAGTTGTGGTCAGAATCAACAATTTACTTATCAGACTTTATTGCTTCTCTGAATGAATCTTATAAATACTAATGTACTGTTAGAAATATTTTCTGTGCTGTGGTATTGAATGTTGTTGCACAGCTTCACAAACACTTAGATGGGCAGTTTAGTCAGGGATATGCTGTAACCAGATATGCACACACTACTACTCATGCACTTTGAGTCAAGATATAATTTGTTTGTATCATCAATTGTTTGTCATATTTGCTGAACCTGTCACTATTCTAACAGTAGTACATGGGACAGATGAATTGTGGAGGAGGAGGAGGAGGAGCCAGAGGAACCAGATTTTGTTTCACAGATTATCTGTGTCATGTACTACTGTCAGAATATAGTGAAGGTTTCTGCAAATATGACAAATATGAATGTTTTTTTTTATTTTTTATAAAAGTTACCTGTAGCTTTAAAGGTCATGAAAACACGGAAGTCGGAAGAATGTGTTCCCAATCCCAACTCTGGAAACGTCTGTTAGTATCCAGACAACAATCGTACCTGACTGTTGTATTAAAGCTGCCTTAGGCTACAGTATGTTACCGATGATGCAGGCATCGACTCATCCTATTTGGTCTGCCCATGCCCAGGTGAGCAACTGTAACCTGTACCGTCTGGGGAAGAAGAAGGGGCTCCCCAGCAGGATGGTGGTGTCCATCTTCGACCCCCCTGTTAACTGGCTGCCCCCTGGCTATGTGGTCAACCAGGACAAGAGCAGCACAGACAAACTGGATTCAGAGGAGGTCAGTGAACGTCCTGCTGCTCTCTGACTTTACGCACTCTGTTGCCCCTTGTTTCTTCTGTGTGACTGTGTGTGCTGAATTGTACAACTGCAGAGTGACAACATGTTTCTTAGTCTAACCTCTTCAAGGTGCTGGATTTGGTTTTGGGATAAAGACAGGAATTAGCAATAGGTATTATTTGTAAGGGTTAGACCTAGGATTTAGAGAATGACTTTAGAGAATACATTATTTTATTCATTTGTCATAGATGTTGTTAGTGTTAAGATATAGTCAGGCCACTAGAGGGCAGCCCTTTACCTTGTCTGGCAACACACCATGCTTGTGTTTTGGTTTAAAGTCCCATAGCCTTTAACTCTAGGCTCTACTCCTACATATCATATAATAATGTTGACAGTGTCTCACAACAATTTCTTATTATGTTTCATTTATTATAACCCAGTCTTGGATCAAACTGCTCACTGAACAACACCTCAGTCATTTAGTAATATACGTTTATCAACTGACTGATTTCGTTTTTTGACATATTTGCTGAAACTTTCACTATATCCTGACAGAACTTGAGACAGATAATCTGTGAAACAATTGGGTTCCTCTGGCTCCTCCTAGAGCTCCTAATGGCATTTGCAAGAATCCACCAGGCAATGAAAACAACCAATCAGAGCCGAGAAAGATAGTTGATTGTTGAGTCTAATTCCCAGGTTTTCAAATACCAGTGCTGCAAATGAGATCAAGCAGTTAGCTTCAAGCCACCAACCAAGTGTCTTTCTGTCTTTGCCCACTCTGATTGGTTGTTCTCTCCTGCTCTTTGTGTACATCATCTAGGCAAAAGAGGAGCTTCTGGCCAACGGGCAGTCTGGAAATGACTATGATGAGGACGATGAGGAGGGCGAGGAGGTGGACGAGGATGGTGAGCTGATGCTGAAGGACGAGCCAAAGGATGAAGTCAACATGGAGGACGATCTGGAGTATTACAAGGAGCACATCAAATTCATTGACAACATGTTGCTGGGATCTGGTGCTTTTGGTAAGAAGATCTCTCTGAGCGGCTTCCCTCCCTCTCTCACCCCGGCCTCCGGATCCTCCCCTGCCATGGAGTCTCCGTACGAGTGGAAAGCGCCCAAGAAGCCCCTCCATCCCACCCCGGCCCACTACCCCTCAGAGCCGGTGCACAGCGGGCCGTCTGCAGAGGAGTTTGACTACAGCTCGTGGGATGCCATGTGCTACCTGGATCCCAGCAAGGCCGGAGAAGAGGACGACTTTGTGGTGGGTTTCTGGAATCCATCGGAGGAGAACTGTGGTGCCGAGCTCGGCAAGCAGTCCATCTCCTACGACCTGCACACAGAGCAGTGCATCGCCGACAAGAGCATCGCTGACTGTGTGGAGGCTCTGCTGGGCTGCTACCTGACCAGCTGTGGAGAGCGAGCCGCCCAGATGTTCCTCTGCTCGCTGGGCCTCAAGGTGAGCTAGGACCTCCCACACTGTAGCAGGATTTAGAGATTATAGCTTGGGTCAGAGTACAGCATAATATATTGACAAGTCAAGCCACTTGAGGTTATTCACGATTATCACCGTAATCACGATGGGTTTTATTGCGATAATATAAGTATCCCTATATGTGACCCATCCTGGGCTGGAAACGCCCACACTGTTTGTTATAGGGTCACACAGTCAGTGGAGCACGGTGCATCCCTTTCAAGTGTATACCATGTGTTGCCAGAGGCTTTCCCCCCTTTATACGTAATTGTTTTGAATTTAGACATTTTAGCTTGACATTTTTTAACCATGTTTGAGATAGCTACTATCTAGCAGTAGGCTACCACTTGCTGTAATGTTAACTGTCTATTTCAGAAGCAGAATCAGCAATACTTATTGGGGAATTTGTCTGTGACAATTGCTCATGGTGCTCACACAATGTTAAAGAATAGAAATACTTATTTTATAACACAATTTACAATGTCTAACACAATATATATAGAATAGAAATCAATAGGTGTATACATATCAGTAAAAATGGAAATAGAAATGTGATAACAGCCTTAAATAGACAGCTCTGAAACCAAAACGAGGTACCAACATCTGCATTGTGATGTGATCCAGCACCATATTGGCACCAGCTTTCAGTACCTAGCAGGTAGCCTGCCGTTAGCTAGTACATAAACACTGTTAAAATGCAGATTTACAGTCTAAAACGTGACTGCATCTGACTCGAAAGGATTCCAACTGTGGGCGGGAGTTTCAAAGTGTAAAGAACAGACATACTTGTCTGTCCATAAGGAAATGCTATTACACTGTCCTAAAGCTAGACTTTTTTATTTTATTTTTAGCCTAGCAGCTGGAGGCTGGACCAATCAGGAGCGTGAAAAATGAAACATTTAGTTGGTAACTGCTTGTAGTTTGAGTGTGAAATTTGAAACCCAAGTCCAGTGGCAGGCTAGTCAGAGGTACATCCTTCCAACCAGTTGTTGGAAGTTCACATCTGTCCCAAGATAAATTGAAAATAACAAAACAAATGCAACAAATTGCAGTCAGTTAGGAGAAAGCCACAAGACAAGCTTTGGGGAGGCATCAAAAGGGGACGCTGACTTTCCCTGCTTGACATCTTTGCGCAGGAAGTTTCACAGCTGAGACCTGGACAGCAAGGCCCTGTCACCCTTAGTGACCAGGCAAGATTTTGGAACTACTGCCAGAAGATCTCAAGTAGCCATCAGACTCATAGGGTGTTAAAGATGTGTGCAGGAGCCAGACCATGCTAGGTGCTCGTCCAAGACAAACTATCACTGGGGGTTTACAGTGATATTAACAGTTGTTTTTGAAAACAGGTGTTACCATTGGAGAGAGGGACCTTGACAGGAGCAGTGGTGCAGAGCCGCCAGATCGCTGCCATCGACCTGTGCTACGGCTGGCTGAAGATCCCACCCCGCTGCATGCTGGACCATCCCGATGCAGAGCGGACTCTGAACCACCTCATCTCTGGCTTTGAGAACTTCGAAAAAAAGATCAACTACACGTTTCAGAACAAGGCTTACCTCCTGCAAGCCTTCACGCACGCTTCTTACCATTACAACACCATTACAGGTCAGACTGCACCACATAGAAGCAGGACAGTTTTACAAAACAAGTAAATAATACTATGTGTTAGTGCTGTCAGTTTAACGTGTTATTAACGGCGTTGACACAAACCCATTTTAACGGCGTCAATTTTTTTATCGCGAGATTTACGCCTAGCACACTTTGTAGTTTTTTTCACATGCTGTTGCAACAACTAGTAACGTTAGAAAAACTACAACACCACACCGGATCTAGCTAGACCGGAAACAAAACAACAGGCACGCCGCACACACTTGTTTAAGTGTAGTAGATGTTACGTTTTGAGTGGATGGCGAGCGCGAGACGCCGAAATGGATGGATTCCTTGTTGTCTTAAAATGTCAACAGGCTTGTCTGTTTGAGTAACTGGTTCAAAGCAAAGAAGTAGTAGGCTTACCTTTTATTGGTAACCGTTACTGTTCATTCTTTCTGAAATAAGAGGCTGGGTTGAGCCTCTGGTGAATAAAGAGCAGTAGCCTGACTGCTATGTTCAAAGCAAACTTGAGAAAAGTATTAAGCCATGGTTTAACTGCACTATAGGCTGAGTCCTAGTTTACCTTACATGTGCACTTTGTAATTTTATTTTGTATCGCCCTGTTTTGATCCCTTAGAAAGGGCTGTTGAAGGGGCTGTTTGTGTGACAAAGTATTTTTTTCACTCTTTTATTAATGGACAGTGTTACATTGTGTGAGAGATTATTTGCTCCAAGTGAGAATGTTAGTGTGAAATTGAACACTACAGTATATGCCAATGTTGTTTTCAATAAAAACAACATTTGCACAAAGCAAGCCGATCCACTTTTCCAATTTACAGACCAAACAATTATTATTAATAATAATAATAATAATAATAATACATTTTCAAAAAAACTCAAAGACACTTCGCATAAGTTAAAAAGGACAAGAAAAGGGTAATAAAAACAACACTAAGAAATTATAGCTATATCTACAACACTCAACAATGAATTAATCGTTAAAAGCACTTCTGAAAAGGTGGGTTTAATCTGCAGATTATTTGAGAATAAAAAATAATCGTTCGTTATTTGTTAGAATAGCATGAATACCACTAATTCTGATACACACATTTCTCCATGTCTGTGGATATAGGTCAAATAAAGTTCTACCTTCAGTTACGAAGGTTTGGCAGATAAGTATATCCTTGGGCGTCCGAAATCTGTTGTTTTAGAAGTTGGGTTACAGCTTGTGATGCTGCAGTGAGTCTTGATTGGACAGCACTACAGATGTTTAATAACAACTGATTTACACTTACTGAAGACACAAAATCGAATCATTCGTTTGAAACTTAGTTAGAAGTTACTGAAAAGTTAGAAAGGACTTTTTACACAAACCTTGGAATGGAGAATGGAAACATACCTGTCGCTTTAGCTGCCAAATACCTGTCTGTGTTCACCAGCTAGTCTCTAACTGTGTCTGCCGAGCAGGTAGACTTAATTATCAGGTAGAAAATACACTAAAAAGCCTACAACACAATGAGAGCTACAACAAATCAAAGTTGTATTCCACCTACCCACATATCTGTCTTTGGTTTTATTGTGGCTTCTCTTCAGATTGTTACCAGCGGCTGGAGTTCCTTGGTGATGCAATTCTAGACTACCTCATAACAAAGCACCTTTATGAAGACCCGCGGCAGCACTCTCCTGGCGTGCTGACCGACCTGCGCTCAGCACTCGTCAACAACACCATCTTTGCCTCTCTGGCTGTCAAGTACGACTACCACAAGTACTTCAAGGCCATCTCGCCCGAGCTTTTCCACGTCATAGACGACTTTGTGCAGTTTCAGCTGGAAAAGAACGAGATGCAAGGCATGGACTCCGAGGTGAGTCCCTTTTCCTACTAGAAACGCAGCTAGCAGCAGTACTGAACAACAAAGTCCTGTTGGAAGAAACCTAATCTTTACTGTTGTAGTTTTTTACCCCCCCTAAAATAATAGTTGGCATTCAAAAAGATCTGCCCGAATAACAAGGCTGTCAGCTTCTATGAATCTGTTTCATATTGCAATGATTTCAGTACTGAAGAGAAAATGCAGTTGGATTTAATTTGCCTGGAAATGCCTATCTTGGCACCAGATCTCCTCTCATTCTGCTTGAGAGGTACTTCTATGCCTTGGGACAGCAGGCACATAGACAAGCGTACTGAACAGCTGAAAGAAATAAAGAAATGCACTGCAGTAATATGGTACCACTCCGCTGCTCACTATTCATCAAATAAGACTAACAATTACATGATGAAGCTGCTAATGTGGCATGCTTTATACTGTTAGATGTAGTGTCAGTACATTAACAGACAGAGTCTGTCAGTGATGTATGCAGTTAAGAAAGTCTTTAGGCTCATAAATAAAGGCTAAAGGGCAACTTAACATGTTGTTTTGCCTTGAACACACCCCCTTAGACAACCTAGATATAAATCTGGTGCTCATTCAGAATTCATAGAACCGTAGTTGCATTGATAACCTTGATTAAACGGCTACAGCAGCCAGTAGCCACTTGCATTTGTGTCATAGGAAGCAGTGACAGGGATTCACCTAGACTCAAGGTGACACCTTCACGGATGCCCCAGGTGGTGGTGGTGGTTCAGAGCCGAATCACTAGTTTAGCACTTCAGCAGCAGAGGCAATGAAGAGTGACACTGTGGGATGTGTATGGGTGGGAAGTATAAATGTGTTAGACTGACATCGCCAGCGGATTACTGTGCAACCTCTCCAAGGCTGTTATCGCTAGGCGTACACCAAGACCTCTGGATGCAATTGGATGGATCCACAACCAATCAGGGCAACGAAACGTGTGACATAGCGCTAAGAAAATGCCTCAACGCTGCTCCTCTGTATCAAACCCACCATGTCATCGTATCAAACCCACCCAGTATTACATAAACTGTTGTTAGGGGGCCAGACAAATGCCAGAGCAAATCAAATACAAGCTTGCACATTTGCCTGGTTATAAATCTGCGATGTGGTTAAAATCCATAATCGCAAGTGGTGTAATTTAATATTAACATATATATTTATACATTTTCTAGTAAATCAACTGAGACACTGTTTGTGGATAAAAAAGCAAATGTCCCGGCATCAGCTAACAGCTTTGTGTGTTTTCGCTATCAGCTGCGACGCTCTGAAGAAGACGAGGAGAAGGAGGAGGACATCGAGGTCCCTAAGGCCATGGGGGATATCTTTGAGTCGCTAGCGGGAGCAATTTACATGGACAGCAGGATGTCACTGGAGACGGTGTGGCAAGTGTATTATCCTATGATGAGGCCACTTATAGGTGAGGAAGACGGAAAGCACATTTATTTATTTATTTCTGTCTGCAGGGAACTTGAGTGATCAGAAACATTCAGGATATTTACCATTTGTGTTGACATGAAATATTGAGGGTCTGAGGATTTTTAATTTTTTTTACCTCACAACCCCCTGTCCCTTAACCACTTTCAGAGAAATTCTCTGCCAATGTGCCACGATCTCCTGTGAGGGAGCTGCTCGAGATGGAACCAGAAACTGCCAAGTTCAGGTAGGAGATCAGCACCTGTCTATATAAGTTCTTTGAAGTTAAATTTCATGGTTTTAAATGAAGGTGCAGTTTAAGATAACTTAAGTTTAAGTAGAACAAATGTATTTCTTTGCACACAAAAAATTACTTTTTTTCCAATAAGAATTCATTTGGTTCATAAAGATGGGTGTGAACTGTATGATTTTAGAAATGTTGTTTAAATCAAACCCCCACTGTACGAGTAAATCGTCTTCTAAGTAAAGCTAAAACTCATGATTTAGGTGCTCACACTGTACAGTCTGATCATGCTCACACTGTATGTATGTAAAATAGAAAATAATACGACAAATCGACCCCTGTGGACTCTTCTGCCTATTTATAGTTGTCAATAGAGTTTTGTTTGAAAACTCCAAGGCAGGTATAAGTTTGTTTGCATCTGTGCCGTCAAAAATCGTAACTTAACGTATCGCGATACAGGGGTTATGATTCAGTATATTGTGCTAAAACTGTAAGAAAGGCTACATTTTTAAAAATCACATTTTAGGAATAGTGTCTTGCTATAAAAAGAACACATGCATAAAATCTGAGTAAAGTTTACTTTATCACAAAACAATATATTTCAATTCAGTTCAATTCAATTTTATTTGTATAGCGCCAATCTTAACAGAAGTTATCTCAGGACACTTTTCAAATAGAGCAGGTCTAGACCGAACTCTTTAAAACATTAATTACAGAGACCCAACAGTACCACCATGAGCAAGAACTTGACGACAAGGGCAAGGAAAAACTGCCTGTTTAAAAGGCATAACATCACAAAACGCGATATGATATTTTTCTTTATTTTCTTAAACCCCTAGTTGTGATAGGAGGAGGAAGAAACACCGAAGAGGCTTGCATGTTGTTGCCACAGCTCAAGCAGCATACATATTTTTCGTCCACAGGACCCATCGTGTCGCCACGGTGCTTACAGATGGTGTGTTTGACAATTTGCGCAGGCACAGTGGGAAAAAAGGTACATACTTTGGTGAATTGGCTAGTAAGTCAGATTCAACTGCGCAAGAGCCTGAGCTGATGTCACAAATCAGCTGAACGTTCGGGAGCTTTTTTATTGGTCCTCGCTCCCCCTGTACAAAGCATGGCACACAACACCCAGCAAAGCCAAAATGAGTTAGAAACTGGCTCAAATGTTACAGTGTATGCCAGCTTAACATGGCTCTGTAATTGTACGGCTTGAATTAGGGATGGATCAAGACAGTTTGCATTATATGGGAAACCGGTGAAATTAGGAACAAAGGTTTATGTCTAGCAGCCTGTTTCAAATAAAGTCCTTGCTCTCTCTGCAGTTGGGAATTTTGGGTACCTACATTGTGAAACCATGTAACCTTTCCTCTGTGTGCAGCCCTGCAGAGAGAACGTACGACGGGAAGGTCCGGGTGACAGTGGAGGTCGTCGGTAAGGGCAAGTTCAAAGGAGTTGGCCGCAGCTACCGGATCGCCAAGTCGGCGGCGGCGCGACGAGCTCTGCGCAGCCTCAAAGCCAATCAACCTCAGGTCCAAAACAACTGAGCTCAGCATTAGCACCTAAGCTATTGACGCTAACGGAGAAAAAGCAGCATTGGATTCCCAACATAGCGCAATGCTAGCCCTGTATCTTCAGCCTGCGATGGCACAACCAAGGCAGCCAGGGAACACTGTGTGGAGACGCAACAAAAGAAGCAGACTGATCTCACAACAGATTTCACATCGGATCTTGTACCTTTTTTTTGTTTTGTTTTGGTTTTTTTTGCGCAAACACAATCTTTACTTTCCCTCTCTGCTTTGTGTAATCACATGAGTGCTTTATTAACGTTTAGCAAAGTGTTTAAAAAAGGTCAGGTCGCAATGTCTGTTCCTCACTGTTCTTGATTTTTCTTTTGTTTGGGTTAACCTCCATGTCAGTGAGATAAGGCTTCTGCTTATTGTGTAGTATTAGACTGTACATAGTTCAATCAAAGGTGTAAATCAAAGTATGTAGTAGGACGAAAAGAAAAAAAAACGCTAAACTCCTCAGCCTGTGCACTAGTGCCAGTCAGTTTTAAAGCGGTTTTTAAAATGCTAAAGGCAGACGTGGCTAACAGATACCACTGGAGCAAAAACCTGGTGGCACTTCTGTCTGAAATCTGTCTTGAAATGGTATTCTTAATCATATTTGCACTTATTCCATTAGGGTCTGTTACTTTGAGAATTGTGTGGTCACATTGACACCAAAATCATATACGTAGCAAAAAATATAAATATATATAAAAAGAATAAAATACATGAATGATATTCTTGGCCTTAAATGCTAAGGCTCACCCTCATATCCTGCAAAACGGATAGGAATTTCAACATTCCCAGTTACTGTAATTTAAACTAGTTTTTAACCACACTTGAGGTTGCATGTTCTTGAAGCTTATGTATAAACCACGACAACTGGATGGCTTCTATAAATGTTCTAAATCTATGGATATATCTAGAGTGTGTGAGAGCGAGATCAGGTGTTTACGGCATTATCTTGATGATTTGGTTTAACATGTTTTGATACCAAGAATGGATGGAATCGAATTAGTCATTCTTGCGCACTAAATGTCTTTCCACAGAGCGAATCATCCAGTTTTGATATATGTACGAAAAGAAAGACATATCACACATTCAATATGCTGCAGACTTTTCTACAAATTGGATACTCGTGTTAAGACACACAGAATCTTTTCAGATACAGTCTTTTGTGAAAAAGGCCAATTCATTTCAACACACTAGTGTTCCTCACATCCCGTACCTACCAAAGCTATAACAGATGTGACACTATAAGGTTGAAGTCAATTCCTAGGGATAAGGATACCAGCCTTTTTTTTTTTCTTTTTTGTGGTTTCTGTTCTGACGAATTTTGCTTCTCGCTAAATGTCTTTTTTCTCATCAGTAAGCCCTTGTTCACTTGAATACCTCAGTTAATTGCATGCATTTTCTTTTCTTTTTTGTTTGGTGCTATGTTTTTGTATTAAGCTTGAATTTCTCATCTTTTTTGCACTGTAACTATAATACCTCTTTATTTGACCTTTTAAAAAAAAAAGAGAATTAATTTGATTTTTTTTTTTTTTCTGTTTGATTTGGTTGTCCTCTTCGTCAGCCATCAAGCTGTAGAGAAGAGCTGCGTTGTCGTCTTTTCCCCCCTTCCGTACTTGAGGTTCAGACTTGATGTATTTTTTTTTTATTTTTTTTGGATTGGGGGAAGAAGAGGAGGAAGTGTAAGCAGGAGATGTATTCTCTGCACATAAGCCTATCTGCATCCCCCCTCCCCCTTTTGTTTATTAACTGTTAGTTTCATCAGTTGAGAATCTGTTTCTGAATTCTGGGTAAAAACAAACAGAGGAAGGATTGATTGATTGATTGATTGATCAGATGGGTAAATGTTTGTAGAGATAATCAGATTGCACTCTTAAACTTTTAATTTCTCTGACATTTACTTCAAAACATAGAAATATATGGGTTGGAAGAGACACATACCCACGTGGTTTCTGTGTTAGTATTTGAAATCAAAGTCATAGTCCTGTAATGCCACCCATAGGTGCTTCTACCTCAAGGACAGTGCGCTCAGTGTTCATTTCTGAACAAAACTGCAGTTAAAGTCAGTAACTTTCTGACTATATTACATAATGTAGTCTTTACTGTGATACCTATACAGTCCATGTCACATATGTAGTAAACAACACAGGTATCTGCTTCACTGAGTCGACATTCCCTTACAGTGATTTTTGTCTAAAATAGAAACAAACTAAAGTCAGTGCCTTCTCTGTGGGAGATCAGTGTCAGCATAGACTGGATTTAAATTCAACAAAAAATTTAAAGTTCAATTAATGAATCAAAATTTGAGGTTGTATATGCGATTGTTTGTGATTTTGTTTCTGCTTAAAAAAGTGATAAGTAAATCAGGTATTTTCAACTGAAGATTTTAACCAGGTCTTCTCTGCCACATACGATTTGTAAGTTTACCCTACAATATATAAAAATAATAATGTAACCCATTAAACCTACCCAAATACTTTGGAACCAATTAAAAGAACAAGTGACATACAAAAGAAGACTGAACTGACCCAACAGAAACTGAAAGTAGTTCCAGTAAATGTTTCCTGATACTTAATTAACCATGGCCCTAGAACCACTTGGGGTCCAGGGACTCCCTGGTTCACTATGTAGCAATGAGTTTTTCAGTTTGTTTGAAGCAGACTTGGTGCCACCTTATCAAGCCCCAAAACATAACCTAGCATTGCTGCAGGGTTACAATGTTAGCCTCTGGTTAACATGACAAAAACCTTTCATGTAGCTTGTTTGTGTTGAAAAGAAACAAATTTAGAATTTGGATAAAAGATAAAAACGACCTGTAGTCACAGCTTAGGTTAGGTAGCTACTGTTAGCTATTGTTATTGTAGCTGTCTTTTTGCTAACAGTATTTGTAAGCTAGTGAGTTAGCTAGTGTTTTGCTACAGACCAATAAATGGCTAACTAGCCAGCTAATCTACATCAGTTGTTAGCTAGCTAGATACATCTGAAAGAGACAGTTTAGCAAAATGCTATCCAACCAGTTTAGCATTTCTTGCTAACATTATTTAGCTTAAGATGTGACTATATGTATGCCACCTTTTTTTTTTTTATCTTTTAACCATCTTTAAAATGTGGTTGTCTTTTCAACACAGACAAGCCTAGCATAAGCATATCTAAGTATAAGAAAGGAGTAAGGAGTTCTGAAGAGGTATTGGAGTAATCAGGGCTGGGACATTTCAGACAATACAGATTGTCCCCAGACCCAGGGTCAGCTTATCGGGGTTCAGGTCAGCCCAAAAACCTCTACTTGACAGTGAAATGAGAACAAAACTTCCAATTACAGCTCAAGTACAAGATATGCATTTTTAATATGTTACGTCGGGTTATGTGAAAAGAACACTTACATTCAAATCCAGTCTTTGCTAGGACTGCTCTTTATTTTTGTTGTCTACCAACAGCTAAACTCTCAGACCTCTGGTCGGGTGCCATAGATAACCATGTGAATACTGAAGTGTAGATTTGTGAAATCCCTTCATGTTAAAAATCAATGTGAACTCAGTGAACACCGTGAAACTTAAGTACGTCTCTGTAAAATCTGTCGCTGTTCAAAAGAGTGCAATCTGTCATTATTTCTCAGGCAGCTGTCTGACCCTCTAGTCCACCTTTTTAAACCCTTAAATCTGGGCTGTGTTTTTTGATTTCCCTGTTAGAGCGATATCGTCAGACTTAAGATTTGGAGCGGCCCTCCAGTCACACACTTTGCAACACCTCAGTCTGTAGTGCACACACACACACACACACACACACACAGCCATTTCGACTTTTCCTCTGGCTCAACACACTAATTATCTGTAAGTCTCCGGGAGGGAGGAGAGGGAGATTACTGAAAAGAATGTGAAATCACTCGTAACGGTGCCATGCCTGCTCTATTTTTATCTGTGACTGATAAAAAAAACAAAAAAAAATGAGGATCACAAATAATCTTGTCAGCCGCAAGTGGCATCAATATCCAACAACCTTGTATGTTTTTCTTTCTTTCTTTTTAATAAGGTGGTGTGTGTGTGTGTGGGGGGGGGGGGGTGCTGGAGCTGAGGTAGTCCTGTGTTATTCAGAGTGGACAATGTTTTCTCGTACTTTTTTTTTTTTTTTTTCATTTCCTTTTGTACATGTAGCACAATTGAGCATTGCACTTGGGCGCCATACTTTACCTCATGTCAGAGTGTGAAAGGGAGTGAAAGGTGGAGAGAAAAAAAGTGTATATATGATGCCGTAATGTTAAGAGGACTAACTTGTGGTTCAGGCTTTGCTGCTGTTTCAATTGCTGGTAATATACAAACCTATTTAAGAATAGAATAAGGGGCTATGGGAGGGGAGACAAAATGTGCCTGCAGGTCATCGTCTTGACAAATACACTGTAAAAAAGAATCTCTGCAATTTAGGCCTAAAATGTCTGGACGTCACGTACACGGATGTTCCCGCCTTAAACAAATGTTTGGAAATGAATTGTAAGTCAAACTACCACATCCAAATCACGGCTCAAATGATGAACTGATGCTCGGTTTCATTCTCTTCTGACTACTTTGTCACCCGAGTGATGCTCCCAGCCTGTTTTTTTTTTTTTTTTTTAACTCCTGCGGTGTGTTAGTTTGGAATTACAAGACAAACCTTCCCCAGCCCTTTATTGGGAACTAAAAAGGAAAAATCCACTTAAACTTGTTTCCTGTACTTTTGGCCAATCATAGACCACAGTACCGTGTCATCACTTATTTTTAACATGCCTAATGTACTTGTACACCAGTTTGTGAATTCCTGTGAACTGGGGCTGTCACTTTTTTTTCCTTTTCAATTTAAACTACTGTTTGTATTTAAAGAAAACAAATTAAATATTACATTTTTATGTGTACAAAAATGATCTGTGTCCATGCAACAGGCCATGTATTGTACTACAGCAGGCAGCGTTGGATGGAAAAAAGTAAACTGGACTATGACTAGGCACTAAAACATACTGGAATTGAAATAGTATCCCATCACGATTATCCCAGTTATGAAAATTCACCACGATAAAAATGTTTGTTTATTGCGATATGTGATCTATCGTCCCATCCCTATTGACCTTTCCATTAACACACAATGGAGTAAACTAGCGAGCTATAATGGAAGATAATCAGTCTTAAAAACGATGTGTGGAAGAACTCTAGATTTGACACCATGTCTGGGGGAAAAAAAAAGGAAATTGTTGGTAGAAGTAGGACTGTGGCTTGCCCTTTAAAAATGCAACTGCCTAGTAATGTTAGCTTGACACTCAAATGATGGTGTAGTTTAAGGTTAGGTTGTATTTGAATCATTTCTAATTAGCTGTAATTTTTTTCAATTTTTTTTTTTTTTTGTAGTGACAGCCCTAATGTGTGTTTGTTTGATCGGAATTTAAACTTCCTAAGCCAACTTCCTCCTTTCCTGTACTTACATATGCTATGTGCTAAGCGAGACTTAAGAAGGGTCAGTTGGGCTTAAAACGGGTAATACAAAACAGCTAGGGCTGTAAAAAGGGTTTTGAACTGCAGCCCCACTGACACCGACAAGTATCCTAGGGGTCTTCAAGGGAAATGTTATTTTTATGTAATGTCCAGGCAGTGTTGATGGTAAATGTAGTCCATTGAAATGTTAAATTCTTTGTTCTTCAGTTTGTGCTATGTTGACCAAGAAATATTAGCAAGATGTGTTCCACCACCAGTGCTGTCATTTGACATATACAGTGATGTAGTTAGTGTCAAGGAAACTACAGGCTGTTTCCGCTAGGAAATGGTCAAACTGCAGGAATTCATTTTCCTCGCACATTTTTGTAGCTTTGATTAGCACCCAGCAGCTAAACTAACTTGCTCACTGAGCGTGGGAATCCTGGTACATGTAGGCACTCCGAACAGGAGAACAGGAGAACAGAGCTTTCTCGGTCAGTATAGCCCGCACTGAGGAACTTACTGTTTCAGTTGACTATATCTTTCATGAATCCTGTCTGGACATCCACATAAAGCATGGGAAATCTTCCCTTCAAGTGTCCCAAAAGCCACTGTGCACTAGGTTCTGGAGTGGACAGGAACTTGCGGTTCAGCTTAGGAACCTTCAGTCCTTTAGAGGCCACAACCTTTGACATTGGAGGCTCCTGAAGTGGGATGCTGCTAGAGTAAAGAAGTAACTTAACCTGCTCCTACGACAAGATTTATACTTTGTGTTCATCGACAAATATGAATTGTGGACCGACACTTTTGCCTTTCTTGTTTTAGATTGCTAAAGTTTTCCGTCATAGCATTGTAGCTACATTTGAAATGTACTGCCTGCATAAAGTATTCATGGGGCTTGGACTTTACTAATTTGAATATAAAATTGAATCACTGTGGATGGCAGATATACAGATGTGATATTCTTCCAAACAAAAACAATTATGATTGACCATGTACTCAGAACGTTTTTTTGTTTGACAGCCTTTTTTCAACAAATTTGTTCAGGATCCTTTCTTGCAACTTCTTATCCCTGATCTAGGACTGGCATAATACGTATCAAAGTCCTGCTTCACTATCTCCCAGAATTCTTAGTCACTGAGCAAACTCACCGGTGTATTCAGATCTTTTACTTACAGTAAATATTCTTTGTTACAAATTAAAGTCAAAACCCTACTTAAGTAAAAAATAATAATAATAACAGCATTATCAGCTAAATGTACTTCTGTAAGTATTTAAAAAAGTACTCCTTTGATAACAATTTCCTCAATATTGGATAAGCTGAAAGCCTGTGGAACTGGTAGCAATCCATAGACATCTAAAACATGACAGTGGGGTCCAAATCTGACCCTGTGTTTTTGTAAGAGGTCACCCAAAGGTCTTTAGGTATTGTATTTCATAAATTTGTCAGCTGCTGTGCACAAATAATTTTAGTAAAAAGTACAAAGTTTACATAGTAGCATAAAATGGAAATGGAAGAATGTACAAGTACCTCAAAACTTTACTTCTGGTTGTACTTGGTTACTACACACTACTGCTGTGTGGTATGCAGTCGTCTTAACTGCTAATAAGAAGGGGGCCTGATGCAGACCAAGAAAGTTCTCTTCTAAGAGACCTTCTAAGACTACACGAAAGACCTTTCTTGTTCAGTTATCTTTTTTGTTACTTTGCACTCGCCTATGTGTGCCAAGAAGAATTCCTACAATGTAGTGAGTTTATTTTTAAAGTTTAGGGAATGAATGTTCCGAGTGATAGTGATGCAGGATTGTGGTAGTCAGTGCTGTCCTGGGTCAGTAAAAACAGATACTGAAATCATATTTTGCTTCATGATTCTGATTCCTGAACTTTGGGTATCGGCCAATACGGACGACCAACTCTACCTGTGACTTTTGATGTTTATGTGCTCTTTCTTAAAGCTGCAGTAGTATAAAAATAACTTTTTGTCATATTTGCTAACGTTCATTATGTCCTGACAGTAGTACCTGGGACAGATAATCTGGCTCCTCCTAGTGCTAAATCCACTGGGCCTGATTGTGGCCTGAATGATGTGCTTAATGCTTGTCTATGTTGAAAAGACAGCCACATGAAAACAACCAATCAGAGAAAGGAAAGACAGTTCTTATTATATAAGTCTTATTCCCAGGGTGTCAGATACTGATGCTTTGGCACCGTGGGAATGAGACTCAACAATCGACTATCTTCAAGCTTCCAACACAAGCATCGTTTTATCTTTCTTGGCTCTGATTGGTTGTTTTTGTTCAGGCCCTGTGGATTCTTGCAAATACCATTAGGAGCACTAGGAGGAGCCAGAGGAACCTGATTCTTTCACAGATTATCTGTTTCATGTTCTACTGTCAGGATATAGTGAAAGTCTCAGCATATATATAATAAAAATATTTTTTACTAAAGTTACCTACTGCAGCTTTAATTTAGTCAGTCTGACTGTATTTGACGTTAAAAGCGGATCCTAATTACAATCCACAGTGATTCAAAAGTCCTTGGAGTGCCTTCACTTTTTATCGGAACTGTATCTGGATGTAATGTCATCTACATGTGGGCAGGTGTTCACAGGAACTGTAAAATGAGACGCAGACAAGAAAATGTTTTTCAATAGTATTAGGTGTTTTAGGTGGATTTTTCCTTTAAGGTCCTCGGGAAAGCATGATCAGTGTTAACAGAAATGCCTTTTGAGAAAGCGGGGTGGGGAGGGAATTTTTTGCAGCAAGATATTGGTCTCATAAAGCCAGCATAGAGCACCGACCGTGACTGTTTGGGTGGGGTTGGGAGGGTGGGGAGGGCATGGTCACAGCAGCAGAACACCAGCAGAGTGAAGCTGAATGGATGGAGCGATTAACTGCTATCAGTGTGGGGAATTATGGGCCATCACAACCTGCAGCAAATGTTTAAGGGACATTGGAATAGAAACTCCTCACTCATACTGTAATACCGTGCTGCAGTGGTTTGCGGTCTGCACCTTATTGGATCACAAATACCTTTAATTTTTTTTGTTTGTTTGAGTTTTTTTCTTTTTCTTTTTTTTTTTAAATAATTGTAGCCCAGTATATCTACAATAAAAGTAATGGTATGGTCATTTATCTTTAGTCCTGTGGGGTTCATTGAGTGTTTTGCTGATATGACAGTTTGTGATTTTGTGTAACACTGAAGTAGTGTGCAACATTTTAGAAACGGATAAATTGAATCACACAGGGTGTCTCAACAACTACTGTCAAGATTTCTGTATGTTTGTGTTTGTATGTTTCTGTGAGATTTGCTAAAATATGATAACTTAAGTTCCCCAAAGAGATTCCGAAACTTTTCCAGGTCAACATCCTGCACAATAGATGCTCATTTGACCATGGACCCTCAATGTGAGAGGATTTTGTCTTAAGGAAGCCCCTCTAAGTATTTTTTATTCTCAAAATTATAGTTTTCATAGTTAAAGCTGCAGTAGGTAACTTTTATGAAAATAACTTTTTGTCATATTTGCTTAAACTTTCCCTATATCCTGACAGTAGTACATGAGACAGGTAATCTGTGAAACAATCAGGTTCCTCCTCGTGCTCCTAATGGTATTTGCAAGAACAATTAATCAGAGCAGAGAAAGACAAAGACTTGGACAACAGTTAAGACAAAGTGCAGAAATGAAACCACCATAATTGTTACAATATACGGATAAAGGTCTAGCACATGCATGTGTTTCTCATGACAACCCTCGTCCTCCTGACATGCCGTAGTAGAGAGACCTGTTTTCACTCCTTCAGCCCTCTGCGAGCACAGCCTGCCCATCATCTGCTCAGCTCCTCCGATCTGCCGGCTCTGAGCTTTGTCAGCAGCACCCACTATATTGGCTCTGTCCAAGGTGCCTGCTGACTACACACCGCAGCAGTGTAAGTAGGACAGCAGCTTTAGCTGGCCCCAGGGACCACGGCAGGATCAGAGAGTGGGTTCACCAAGAGGGTCAGGTTTCAGTCTGGACTAAAAAGCTCATTTGGCATTCATCCACATTATGTATTACTATTTACTTGTTTGAAAATCCAACTGTTCATCTAACTAACAATATTTGTATTTTAACTCAGTATATCAACTATTTCAAATGCAGAAATAATAAAAATGTATAGGCGGACATTATAATTGTATAAAGAGTTCGGTCTAGACCTGCTCTATTTGAAAAGTGTCCTGAGATAACTTCTGTTATGAATTGGCGCTATACAAATAAAACTGATTTGAATTGAATTGATATACATTTTGATGTCAAATGAAAATGATGTCTACTTTCACTATATCCTGACAGTGGTACATGAGAATCAGGTTCCTCTGGCTCCTCCTAGTGCTCCTAATGGCATCTGCAAGAATCCACCGGGCCTGAACAAAAACAACCAATCAGAGCTGAGAAAGATAGAAAGACGCTTTGGGTTGGTGCCTTGAAGGTAGCTGATTGTTCCCGGCGTTGGTAGTCTCATTTTCATGACCTGGGAATAAGACTCAACAATCAGCTCCCTTTCTTGGCTCTGATTGGTTGTTTTTGTTAAGGCAAAATATAGCATGCTCAACAATGTCAAAGTAAGTCTGAATCAGCTTTCTAGCGCAGTGTTTCTCAAACTTTTTACAGCACGTACCACCTCAGAAAATACCACCATTATGACCGACATTAAAATACATCAGAACCATGTTCAGCTACAGACAGTTCAGACAGGAGGCAGCTTCATTACTTAATTAACTATTGCTGAATCCTGAACGGAACCGGTTTAAGAACCAGAGCTAATTTGGTGGAAAAGGGTCCTCCTGTTCCACTAGTGTCTTCCAAATAGTTTCCGTTTGGAGGCACGGTTGCAGTGTTTTTGAACTATTCATTTTACCTCCACTTACTGTTTTATTTTATCACTTTTTAGCTCCTGACTAATCCTGGATGAATGCGCACACTATGTTCATGAACATGTTTATGTTCATGCCTACATGGCAGGCTGGCAAATTACAGGAACTGCAAAACTTATTTTAAATTGAATTTCAGCAGTTTCATAGTTCAAGTATTTACTGGGCCCAAACTAAAACAACCAAGATGAAAGGCAGGGATGCTTTGGGTTAAAGTCTAGAAGATTGTCTGAGATGTTGATCTAATTCCGGTATTTGACGGCCTGGGAATGAGACTCAGCGGTCAACTATCTTTCTTGCCTCTGATTGGTGGTTTTTGTCCAGGCCCGGTGGACAGTAAAAGTTTCAGAAAATGTATTTCTTTCATCATCATGTAGTTAAAGTATGCTCCACCAAAAGTGAACATGCAGATCAACAACACAGCAGTGGATTCTATTGTACCAAGTTCAGTCTAGGCTTGGATTAGAATCCACTGTAACTGCTGTCAATTTAAGCTACAAAGAAACAAGCTACAAACCTTTCTATCCACTTAAAGAATACATTTACTGATTTGAAGCTTTTGTCCAAAGCAATGTACAAAGCAAGTACAAATCACTGCAACAGCATCCTCTACGGCACACCATCCAAAACCTTAAATAAACTCCAGTTCATCCAGAACTCTGCTGCTCGTCTGCTCACCCACACCCGCACCCATGACCACATCACCCCTGTCCTCCAGAACCTCCACTGGCTCCACATCGTATTCGGTTCAAAATCCTCCTCCTCACACACAAAGCCCTCAATAACCAGGCCCCTTCCTACCCCACTGACCTGCTCCATCGCCACAACCCATCCCGTAGCCTCTGCTCATCTGAAGCAAACTTCCTGACTCCACCACCGAGGACCAAGCCTGGGGCGACAGAGCCTTCTCTGTAGCTGCCCCCTCCCTCTGGAACTCTCTCCCCAAACAAATCCGTGACTGCACCGACCTTCCAACGTTCAAATCAACGACATAAACTCACCTTTTTAAAAAGTTAGTCTGATGTGTTTTTAGTGTTTTACTATTTGATGTTGTTTTGCTGCTTTTATGGTTTTATGTAAAGTGTCTTTGAGTATTTAGAAAAGCGCTTATAAATAAAATGTATTATTATTATTATTATTATTATTATAAACCAGAATAGATCAAGGAGAAGCCTCAACACTCCTGAGATAAGTTCCAAAAGTAACATATAGCTCACACTTTTTGCTTTCGCTTTAATTTCTTGGTCTCAGTACATCACAGTCATTTTCTCATTATTATTCTATATTAAATGAAGTGATGAGTAGGAGTACAGCATGTGCATCAATCAATCAATTCAATTTATTGTCCTCCAAGGGGGAAGTTCATGTCCACATCACTGCACCTGCAGGCAGCACCATACACTCAACAAAGAAACACGCTAGCCACAATTAACAAATCTACAGAAAAAACAAAAACAAAAAACAAACAAACATTTGTGACAAGTTGCCCCATCACTGGCTGAGTTGTCTACAACAACACCAACAACAACATTTATTTATAGAGGCCTTTCAAAATCCACCTGCAGTGCAGTTTAGATTATTTTTAAAAATAGGAAAATTGTTCACACTAGGGATGAGTGAGAACACTTATCTGTTCATGTTAACCAACTGAATTATCTGTATTTGTATCTGTACAGGGGATGAGGGGATAGGCGGGGCTTAAATCAGACATAGGTGATGTTAATTTAAGCCTGAAATTGATATGGGTTGATCAGAAGTTGCTATATTTATTAGAAATCTATTTACAGAATTGAGCTTTGGAGCAACATTTTCGATCAGAAGAGTAGGAGAACTATTTACAGAACCAGTTTTTAAATAAAAGTCGGTATATTTACAGATATTGGCGCATTGTACTTGTTTGATACTTGAACTCGTAAAAAGTATATACTAATTTCTGTTGAGTACAACAACCCAAGTGCAGTGAGTATAACCAGTGTGACAAGATGCCCCGACCCTAGCTGGGTTTGGTAAGTCATTCCACCGTTGAGGGACCACACAGGAGCGGAGTTTGGATTCGTTGTTCGTCGTTCATTTGCAGATCGTGGTGAACGAGAAGGCTCATAAACCCGTATTTGGGAGTTCAAGTAGGTGGGAGCTAGTGGCCGCTCTGTAGGTGAGCATTAGTGTGTAGAACTTAATGTGAGCAGCAACATGGAGCCAGTGGAGTGTAATGAAAAGTGAGTGACACAAGCTGTTTTTGGCTGGTTGAGGAGCATACGTTTTTTTTATCCACATACACATTATTTTCATATGATCCCCAGCAGGCTGTGGATAATAATTCATGCAATATGTAATACATATTTTCAGTACAGTAACTGGTCTACACACTGGGCCTTTAAAATCAAGAAGACCTTGCAACCCCTAGTGGGGGTCCTGACACCCAGGTTGGGAGCCACTGCCCTAGAGGGCATTTTATGTTTAATCTGCCACCCAAGAGGGCACTTCGGCTGTGTTTTTTCAAATATGCGTCCACCAGTGCTCCAACAGTTCATCATGTGGTCATCATGCATCATGTGTACTGCATGTAAAACCTACACAGTACCTGAACCTGCAGCTGTAAGTACCCACACTATGTACTCTTAACTTTACTAATTAACAGCATGAATTTTGACATAACTATTCAATTTGGTTTAACTTTAAAAAAAACAAAAACATTTCTTTTTAATTTTACAAAATAATTGAACAGTGTATTGATTAAACATGTGTAGCTCTACTGTCAGCCCAATGCAAATAAGGTGAAGCAGCTTGCGGAGGGTCAGGGCTGTGCATTGTGGGAATGAGCAGGCCTAATGGTGACTTATAGCCTGTGTTGATAATGTGCAGACTAGCGCTGTGTCACACGAGCCATTTATTCTGCGCTGTAAAAACAAAGGAGAACATGAATAAATACGGCAGTTGAAGGATGGGGATTGGTGGGTGAGTGGGGTAGGGGGGTCTGCCTGCATTGTTCCCCTCTGAAATAAAACGTCTTGTGCTGTGACCTGCGGAGCTTATGTCCCCAGTTAGTGCTAAAGTGTGTGTCACTCAGCGTACACAGCTCACCCCTCAACTTCACAATGCCCTGTGGCATTCAGATTTTTTGAAAATGAGCAGTTGACCCCCTCACATCCCCCAACTTCACAGACACAGTGACACGCACACTTTTGCAAATTCATTTCTGTGTCATGACAACATAAATTTCACCAAT